GTACCACTGACTCATAAATAGTACATATTGAGAGTTGGACATTTATAATATATGAGAGCAAGTACTTAGTAGCCAGTACATCACCTCTAATTATGCGTTGATAGATCAAAGAATCAACTGAAGGTGATTTGCTTTATTTCTAATATAGTAAACAATCATAAAAATCTACTTGTAACCACTTTGACTTGTTTTACTTTTTGCACCTGTTCTCTTTAAACAATTTTTTTAAAAATGTCAAACAAACCCAAGTCCGATCGATAACGTATTATTTTACAACATTTTTAATGAATATATTGTGCGATAGTTGAATAATGGATAAGGGATTCCTGAATGTTAAATGTTGTAAACAACATAATCTTAAAGTTCATGTTTTCTTAAATAGTTGTGCAATTAGATATCAAAGATTAAATTCTCCCCATTCATGTATTGTAATGGATGTGTTTTCGATATAGGAAAAGGTGAATGTAAAGGCAAACACCACGCTTGTTTATTGTTGAAACAAAATCAGGTCTATCAGACGCGGTGCACTAATGATTTATGGGTTCAGACCCTTACCATGCACCTCAATAAATTCCGTATTTTAGATGAAGTTTTTCTACTTTTAACAATTTCGTTTTTCTTTATGTAATAATTTCGTTTTTCTTTATATATTAATTCCGTTTTCTTTATATTAATTTCGTTTTTCTTTATATATTAATTCCGTTTTTCTTCATATATTTTTGGTTTTTCTTTATATATTTTTGGTTTTTCTTTATATATTTTTGGTTTTCCTTTATATATTTTTGGTTTTCCTTTATATATTTTTGGTTTTCCTTTATATATTAATTCCGTTTTTCTTTATATATTTTTGGTTTGCACTAATGGGCTTCCGTAGTGTTGCCATGGTTACTAAAAATAGAATTTTCTTTGAAATTCCTTAAAAACGCTACTCCTTCTACAGTTTTTGTCTGATTTCAAAATAAGTTGGCACATAAGTAGACTACACAAAGATACATAAAATAGTGCAATGGTTTTTGATAAGTACAAACCAGTAGAGCTACAGTCTCGACAGAGACTTCTGGTTCATAAAGCTTTCTATTTTCAGTGGATAATTAAAGTATGAAATATTCAAGTATAGTGACAACACGAATATTTGAATTGTTCATTTGGTTTGCAGTATTAACTGTTAATGCTTACAAATTTTTCTTCTTGTTGGTCTTTGTTATCAGGAAAAAAGGGTGATATTTTAGTTAATAGTCTGTAATTAAATGAAATATACTATAGTATATTTTCTTGGATTTTACTCTTTTTTTCATAATGTGTATACTTAAAAGGAATCTTTTAGAGAAGAAGTATTGCAAGTCGTACATAAGGATCCCTGACTGGTTTTTTAAAATTTAGATAAGTGCTCTTAGATAAGTACACTAAAATTTTCAAATAAAAATCAGCAAAGACAAAGTGCATTTATTTCCTGATATCTTTGTTTTCCCCAAACTTTTTTTTTTCTTTTGAATAAATAATATTTGAATATTGAAATAGGTATAATATAATACAATGTGGATAGAGAACTCTAGTGCGTGAGAAAAAAGAAGAAAATAAAGAGAATATGCATTACTTTCCTTCCAATAATATAATCACTATTAATACACACAAACGCTTGACTTCGACATCTCATTATTATTATTTCCTCTTGTCGTCTAACATCTCTTTATCACATACTATCGTGAGTCAGAAAACTCATAAAGCAAATGCGTAACTCTATCCTATCCAGACTATTACTAGTACATAACTTGACAGTTTTGACCGTTTTAATGTAATAAAACTTGAGATATGTCTTGAGCCCTTTAGCAATTTTGTAACAAGTACTACATTGCAGTTCCAATACTACTGGTACGCTTTGGATCGTAACAACAGCATGACTTGGTATTTATCGCTTCTTTATTAGCCGACCAATTTTTATATCTCTAAAAAGTATAATTTATTCAAAAAACAACTTAAATGAAAAAAAGTTAACATTTGCCATGGTATTCAAAATCGACGATGAATTATCAATAAACAATGGTTACTTCCATTCCTATGTCGACTCAATAGATCTCAGTGAAGTTGAAATAACAGACACCACAAAGTCTTGCACATCTAGTTCATTTTTTTATGTTTGCCTTTACAAAGACAATATTGACCAAATGATAACTAATGAAACTGTTTGACAAAGAGACGACTAAAGCATTTATGTAGTAATCTTCCAATCTCACATGCATATGATGTTTGTGTCTCCTAATCTTTCAACTGATTTGATTAGAATACGCCAGGAAATACACTGAGTACGAACAATTTTTTAAAACTGAGATAGGGTACTGAAGAAATAAGTTGATGTTACAAAAATTTCAACAACCTATGGGTTTTTTTAAGTGCAGAAAGGTCAATATTTATGACACAAGGGTACAAAAATAAAAGAAAACGTCACATTTTTCGTTTATTTTATCATAAAGGTATACTTTTTTCTTTGTTAAAATAAAGAGATGAATCATTCCTTTCAAAAAATATGAATTACAACATTTTTACACAGACTTTTTAAGATATTACCTTTTATGCATGTCGGAATTGTAAAAAACACGACAAGAAAAACAGGGTGATGCTTACATTTTGCTCTTTTATAAATGTTCATGTGAGATGAATACAATGAATTTGCCTTCATTTTAAAGATGCAAGTCATATAGATTAAATACATGTTGATTTCGAATGTGATTTGACATTTTTGGTTCTTTTTAGCGCATATTTGGAGCAGAACAATGATGTCTGAAAATGATCTATTTTTAGAATTTCACACTGTTTTTGCGCGTGCTCTAGTGTAAAAATAAGCATATAAAGGTTTTTTTAATAATTAAGAGCAAGTGTTCAGGAAAGAAATGTCAAAGTTTTGAATATTTCACACAAAGACTTTTAGGACATAGGTCCTCCCTTAAGGATGTCCGCTTCTCAGCCAGAAACGATAATTTTTAACATATTTAAAAAAAAAAACAAAAAAAAAAACAGGAATGTCTTAGAATAAAGCTTGGAATTGAAAAACTTTTCATGCAACAATTTCCATTTTATGCATCTTAAATATAATTCAGTATAATTATAATGTTCTTATATTATATTATTATATTATAATTGAATATAATTCAATGTTCTTTGAAGTCTTAAGAAATCTGCTGTAATAGGTAGACATTTGCACTAAAGTACAAAAAATGAATAAATTTTAATTGAAATATATTTTTATTCAATGTTATTAGCATGATTTAAAAATGATTTAAAATTACAGGTATAAGTGATCCGTGAAGTTCTGATAGCAGAAAAATAATTGTTGTTTCAATCAAAGTTCCTTTATTATTAGATAAGGTTTGGTAGCTCAAAGTTTCAAAATAAAAATCCTCATTTGATATGTTTGATAAATTACACTTTGATTGACTCCTACTTAATATTTTTAAATATAATTAAAATATCACAATTGAATCATTTGATAATAGATAACTGAAATATTGCTCACCAATATGTTATTATGCATAATTATCTATTTAACAAATAGGTCGAAATTTATATTTAAGTTGTACAAAGTTTTTGTCTACATTTTATATGCCAAATATGCCATAATTTTTCCACTAGTCAATATGTCAGATTACACACCTATTGTCTCAGGGGCAAATTTTGTGATTTGGCTATTTGTAATAATATTTTTTTGGTATTTTTATATGTACATAACCTTTACTTATATTTGAATTTAGATTGTGTTTCTTTACCGTCATTTATTATCTATTGTAATAAATGACCTTGAGAAAGTTCAACTATTTGCTGCTAGAATTGTAACAGGTCTTACACTCATTGCTTCTAAAAATTCACTTTATCTGGAAACTGGATGGGAACCATTGGAAAATAGAAGAAATCGAACAAATCTAGTAACAATGTACAAAATACACAATAATTTAGTACCTACTTATATTCAAAATATAGTACCTGATATTAGAGGCACTCTACTAGAAATTCCTCCAATTATTCCTTGCCAAAATGCAGACTAGAATTATTCAATAAATCCTTTATTCCAGATACTGTTAGAAAGTGGAATGCAATTAAAATTAACATAAGGGAGGCAACTTCTATGAAAAGTTTTAAAAAATGCTTGTCAAGCAATATTGTAAAACCTCCAAAGTATTTTTCTTTTGGTAAGAGATTTTGGAATATTATTCACACAAGGTTAAGACATAATTGTATTTTAAATTCTGACTTATTTCGCTGTAATTTAATTGACAGTCCGAATTGCTCATGTGGACAAATAGAGGATCCCTATCATTTGTTTTTTGTTTGTAGAAAATATGCAACAGCAAGATATTCTCTAATGAATAAGTTATTATCATTCAACAATTTGTACATTATAGATGTTCATTTGATGTTATGGGGTGTTGATTCATTCTCTGATCGTCAAAATGTAGAAATTTTTAAAGTTATTCATACCTTTTTAAAAGAGTGTGGTCGATTCTCTGAAAAATCTTAAATTTTTTGTATATATAGTATTGTGTTCTGGTATCAAGAGTTTACTGTCTTTGACACTACTAATTGTTACTGAAAATAATTGTTCTTTATTTTGGCAATATTATAAAATTTTGTATGAGGAAAAGACTATCTAAGTTGTCAGAACTTGTGTCTTATCCTTTTGGCTTTAATTGTCAATAAAATATGTTCAATTCAATTCAATAAATGACCTATTTCATTCTTTAAAGGGTGTTATTGTTTTTTCTATTAAATGAAGATAGACAGGTATAAATAAATAATTTGTTTGTATTTGTTATAAAATACTAAATATCTCTTTCTTTATTTGTTTAATCCTTTTAATGTTGAGTTTACTGCAAGGTCATTTTGTGTTAATCACACCAAAGTGATACATTCAATAAGCTTTCAAATAAAATTACTAGTACAATGTAATAGTGAAAAATAAAAGTGTACATTGTAACCAAACAAAAATACATTTTTCCCAAATTCTTTTTCAGAAATGTTACAATCAACGATCCTGAATGAGAAAACCACAAACAGTACAGAATATTCGGAATATATAGTCCCATTAGCAAACCAAACATTGTGCCAAAAGTATCCAGACACAAACGATTGGACGTTTCACTGCAGCGTGCCGTGTGAGGCAATGAGACTTACTGGTATCAAAACAACAAACATTGATGTGATCAAGTCTTGCTCAATGTTAGAGGAAAGTGTTACATGGTCGCAAACAGCGAATAGAACTTTGTTTCACGTACCATTTCAATCCCGGTGTTTAGATAATTTAATCAGAGACTATTGTCAAACATCCACAACTGTGCCAAACATAGCTCACTACGTATGGTTCTCAAGAAAAGAAATGAACTTTTATCATTTTTTGAGTTTCTTAAGCGTGCTGAAACACTTAAACCCATGTCTAATTTTAGTTCATGGAGATGTTCCCTATGGGTTGTATTGGGAATACATTATGATGATTACTAATAATATAATAAATGTAAAAATGAAGCCACCTGCCACCATATTTGGTAAGAAGATTGGGCGAATAGAGCACCAGGCTGATGTAGCTAGGCTTCTAATCTTACAAGGTATAAATATATAACCGATATCTGTTTGACATGTTATACCATTGTATCAATTATTGAAATTAGCAGGTCTACGACAAGTACCTGTTCTTATAATAAAATGCATACATTATACAGTATCATGTCATTAGATTAGTGTATGCTCTGTGCGTCTTTTAGGTTTGTTTCTTCCTGTAATCGAAATATTACACGTGTTCTATATTTTAATGGTGCAAGAGACAGCTTTTTTATATCCAATCCAAAACAATATTTGTAAGATAAGCATTGAATATATTTGATAAAATTAAAATTAACTTTGATGAAGTACTGTAGATCACTTAATTTTCGCGACACCTTATTTTCGCGTAATAGTCATTGACTCTTTATTAGCGAGACAAATTTTTCACTAATTGTGGTCATTGCTCTATATAATCTTAAGGAATTCTGTAATACGCGAGAATGAAATTTTCGCTAGCATTCCATCTCGCGTAATTACGCCAAAATAAAGTTCTCGCGAATATAAAGTGATTAACAGTATACTTTTCATATTAACGATGGGGTTAGATGAGACAGATCAAAGATCAGGAATATATTTTCTTTAATAGCAACAACCCGAATGCCTCAATTCATCTGAAGCTAAATGTTTGCGAAATTCATGAAAATAAATTCAATATTCAAAACTCTATTATTACTTAAATCACATGTTTTATGTTTATGTTACATTAACATTTGAATTAAAACTTTTTTCGTCAAGCTTGACGGAGTTATCCATCATTTTCCTTTTCTTATGTTTTATTTGTAATTAATGCATATATTTAATTGCTTATTACCTTTTTTATTTGTAGAATATGGAGGAATATACATAGATACAGATGAAATTATATTACGTTCCATGGAGGATTTAATGAATTATTCCTTCACACTAAGTCACGCTGTTGACAACAATTTAAGCAACGGACTTATACTATCGGAACCAAATGCAACCTTTCTTTCGTACTGGTTGGATGGGTATAAAACTTACAACAAAGCACAGTGGGCCTATCATTCTACGATTTTACCTCATAAACTCTCTTTAAAGCATCCAGATTTATTGCATATAGAAAATAAAACATTTGTTAGGCCAAATTATACTCAATTAAAACTATTATTTCGAAAGAATTTTAACTGGTCAAAGAATTATGGGATTCATCTGTATATACGTTTTTACAAAAGAATGCATACTTCCATGGATGTTAGACGTTTAAATACGACTATGGGGTCTGTAGCGAGATACATTTTGTATGACACTAAAGAGCTTTGTTTTGATGCATAATGTTTTATCAAAATGCTCAGATATTTCGCTTGCATTTCATATCCTCTCGAACAGTATTACTTTGAATATGATAACTTAAGTTCCTCTATTAATTCTCCACAGTGAAATTTTCCAGTAATAACTTTTCCAATTAAAATTAAAATGCTTGATTTATAGAAGATTACTTTATAAACTGGGTATTTTTTTTTTTTGAAAGCAGCAAACCAGTTGCTAACTAGGAATAATAGTTGAAGAATATAATCAAAACGAAAATGATTAAGTGATAAAAGATTTTGAATACTGCAGTAATAAGAAAATTTGAATTTAATTTTGTTTTCAAATCTGGATTAAATATGTCATACCAAGCTGTTTATGGATGAGAAAAGTATAAAGTTTCTGTGAAGATTATACCTTTTTTTTAACCATAAAATGGTTATTTCATTTACATGTACCTATGACTGTCTCAGACATTTCAGTACTGAGTTGCTCCATACCTTGTTAATTTTTGGATCAGTAATTTGTTTTCTTCTCCAGTTAACTTGCTTGTAATAGTTTTGCAGCTTCACTTATAAAATAATTTGTTCGTAATGCACTTTGTGTTTGTAACAGAAAACTGAAGGAAAATTATCTTTGTTGGGCATAACTTTTTTCTCATTTTTTTTGTTGGTATTTCGTGTGCATAATTTTTGTTTTACATTTCATCTGCTTCTGTTGCCAAAACGACTACATATGTTTTAACTTATTTTGAAAGCCATGTTTTTGTTTTATTTATTTATTTCATAAATCTATCCAATTATTATGTAACGTTAATAAAGAAATTCCTTTCATTTTTGTTGTTTTTTGTCATTTCATATATGACAATATCGGATAATTAAAGCAGTATGTTAAAGGTAATATCTGATATATTTTAAAGCTGACCTTTTATTGAAATTTTCAGTCATATTCTTTGAAGGTTTTATCGCTACATTCTATTTTAAATATTTTGTGTGTATGAAATATATTTTGATAATCACCTACAAAATTGACCCCAATATATTTTTATGCTTAAAGAATAAGGTAAGAAACTGGAGATAGTCCAGCAGAATTTATGCTCGAAACAGTCTAAGTTTTCCGAAAGTTGACAAACGAATGCAAATTTAATTTTCTATGGCAAGGGATGTAATCCTTAGAATAATTCGTTAACAAGGAAATAATTTAATGAATTAAATGAATGATTTTATCTCCCTTTGTTTATATTAGTTAGTCCACCATCTTCGAAGGTTATTTAAAACGTTACCCAGGTGACCTTACTCTATTTTCGACTGTTAGAATCAATAGGCTTCTATATATTTTTGACTTTTTCTTATGTGCTAATGAGGATTTTAATCAAAAATTCCCAAATGTAGCTATCTAAAAGGCTATGTAAAAGTCTGTCTGTATTTAAGTTTGCTCAAGCCATGTCTTTTGATTCCAGAATAAGGAGGGCTATGCACATGTAGATGAAAAATGAAAAGTTAGATATACAAAAATCTTTTAAAAATGTTTTTAATATTAAAATTATACAATTTCTTTTATACATTGATATATTATTTATATTTTTTCTCAGTCGAGATCGAAATAGGCCAAAGTAGAGATCCGAGCTTTTCTTCAAAACTTTCCTCAGTCATCATACCCGGAGCAGAATAAAGGTTCAAACAGAAGGAAATAAAGGATTAACAGCGATTTCTATACTACAATTGTTATTGACATGTTGTGTTTTTTTTCCATTAATCTAATAACCGTTCTAAAATACTATTGTACTGAAGCTCAATTTTGCTAATGAACATGTGGAAAAAATCCCCTATTATTTTGCTAATGAACATGTGGAAAAAATCCCCTATTATTTTATGCCTAAAAATTAAGAAAACATACTCAGTAGTTTCTTTCTCTCAAATATTAATGAACAGGATAACTGAATGAAGGATGCTATTAAATATCCATCGCTTACAAAGAAATTTACCAAAAGTAATTTTTTTTACATGTTTGAATTAATGCAATATAAATCACTCTATCGTATTTGTCCAAAAATATTTCTTGACCGTGGAATCAATTCAAAGCAATATTCACTCTCAAAAAAGAAGGTTGATTCAATGATTGCGTCCCTTGAAGCATTTTAAACGTACCAAAGACATACGAAGCATGGTCGTTTTTGTTAGGTCGTTGTAATTCTGTGAATGTGATGAAAGAATTCAAAGCCAACCATTAAGGCATGCCTTAAAGTATCTTATTTTTATCTTCTTTTTTTATAATTAATGATCTAAGATCCGGTATTTAAGATAAATTCTAGCTAGTGTATCATCCTTGATCAATGAAATAATGGTTCATCCTTTCTTAGTTAAATCTTTAACTAATATGATAAATGCCAGCGCGAAAATATCATAATAGAATACCTTTTCTACAATATACTCATTAAAATTTTACCAAAGTTTAAAACATGGAACATTGATAATAATAAAAATACTAAGAAATAAAATAGAAAGCTCGGCGATATTTTTCTATCAGAGAGGAAATTGATGATCAATTGTCTAGAACGATGAATGAGATGTGGCATTTTTCTCCACAGTAAGTTGCTTTTTATAGCAACTTCAAAGTGAACTGTGACGAAAGTGAACAAAATTTGCCCAATATATTTCACAAATGAAAGTATTTCTATTATAGTTGCCTTATGACTGTAAAAGCTGGAGAAAATGAACAGTATCCGATTCTTAAAAATCGATAACATACTCCAGTATTACAAATTTGTGAAGAGGGCATAAAATTTGGACCCCTGGAAAGTGCAGAGGTGGGGTCAGGTGCTTAGGAGGAGTAAGCATCCCCTGTTGACAAGTCACACCCGCCGTGAGCCCTATGTATTGATCTGGTAGACGGAACTTTCCGAAGTCAAATTCATTATAAAAACAAAGGTCTTACAATTGTTTTGAAATAAGCAGTCATAATGCGACCCAGTGTCATGCAATATTTGTTAAACAAGTCATTATAACAATCACAGAATATACAAAATGACGATTTTGGACGTGCTTGTTGAAATCCCTGTAGCATCAATAATCACTGAATAGCATGACTCGCCTCAAAAATATACCGTACTCGGAGCACGCTCTTGAGTAGCAACTAAAGTGGGAGACATTAACACCATAAGCAGGTGAAAGTGTAATAAGGAAAGTCATTTCACATGTCATACACTTTAGATGTTAATTGGCCTTTATCCTCTTTAGTTACTAAAATAGGCAGATATGAAATAGAAGTGGCAGACTCTGTGGTGTTTAATTTCAATTTCTCTGAGATATATTAATGAAAATATCTATCCGGTATTGTTAATTGATAAAATATCGTCGATATATCTGAATGTCGAATTGATTGATTGATTTTGTTGTTTAACATCCCTCTCGAGGATTTTTCACTCATATTGAAACACCAACATTTACGGTGGAAAGCTGCAAATTTTGTCCTATACTCGGCACTCAGGTCATTGAGCAGGGAGAGATCTTTTTCGTGCCGGCACCTACTGCGACACGGGACCTCGGTTTATACGGTCTCATCCGAGGAACCGGTCTTCACGTTCCACAGTGGGATTCGAACCCACGACGTAAGGATCAACTCGTTAATTTGCGACTCCAGAGCAGACGCTCTAACCACTGCGCCATGGGGTAAACAAGTGTTAATCTATCTTTTTCTTCAAAACTATTTATCATAATTCAATTTTTATAACATATTTAAATTCATCAGTAAAGATTATTCAACATTCAAAGAAAAAACTGCTCAAAAATCCACAAAGAAGCCAGATTTATGAGTAACTTTTTCTTGTTGTGGAAGGATACTTAGCAGAAAATTCTGCAAATCTGAACATGTATTAAATTTCATGTCTTGGAACTTTCGCCTCACATGCTTTTACTCGGAGAATATTTTCCGTTATGATATGCTAAGATTATTAATACAGGTCTCAATTTATATTTTTAAAACCTCCAAAACATCAGATGTGTGATCAGGTGCCATGGAAGAGTAAGCGTCCCCTGCCGACCGGCCTCACCTGCTGTGTGCTCTTTGTCATGATCGGAATATAACGGAAAATCGTCAATTCAGTGTATAAATAATGGACTAACAATGAGTATGAAAAACGTCAGTTAGCATTTGACTCAATGATAAACTGAATTTGCTGAAAAGGTCATTATATCGATCATAGAACTTTTGAAATAATGACTTTAAAAAGACTGCTGATATCCTTGTTTCATCAACTTGTTTATCAATAATTTACTTAAATTGTACATACGTAGAGCCTAATAGTTTGAATAATATTTCCAACATTTGCATTAATGGTGCTGGATATAGTTTTAGAAAATATTTAAGTCCCTGATAAAAATGAGCAGAGCTGTTTTTAGTAAATAAGATATTAAAGTATATACTAATTGTAAAATGTAGATAAATAAATATCTAATAAGACATTAGATTAGAATAATTTCTTAAGACAGTGAGCAACATGCAAACCTATGTACCCAAAGCCATCGACATTTGATAACATTACTGTTTTATGACTTGTTTTCGAAACAATTAGGTACACTGTTTAAAATTCATAAATTAAGTACGAGGAATACGAGATCTTAATAAAAGTGATTCAGCAGCTTTGATTTTAAGTGGACAGGGATTGGTTCAGAGATTTTAGAACACATTCATATATGAGTAGTTTTGGAAACATAATTACGACGGTTGTCCCAAAAAGTCGCAGACAGGGAAAACAGTTTATTTAGCTTCTCTTTGCTTAATTAAATTTTCTTCCATTGTCATAGCAAAAAGTAACAGTTTATTATCATGCATTTCAAGTTTTATGATGATATCACATCTAATAAGAAAATTATGTAAAAATAAAAAAAGAATGTAAGTGTACTTCGGCGCACGAAAGCAAACGTAAATAACGTCTCTTATAACGTCATAATCTCTTTATCTGCTTCACTCGCGTCCATTAACATTCAATATTTTCTTTTAAAGTGATAGACCACTCTTGACTAAGGGACTTATTTAAATTCAATATTGTCCGTTTGCTTTATTGTTTTATATATTTTTAAAGCAGATTCAAATTTCAGTCGAAATTTAGTCGAAAGATCGCCTTATACGGTAGACAGGAAAGAAGACACATTGTTTGACGTCGTTCGCGTTCAGATTGTTCCCAATTGTCTGCGGTTAACAAATAGTACTCTACTTCTTGCATGTCGTAGCTATTTTCGGTAGAGAGGAAAAACTCTTATTGAATATTGTTCCATTTATAAATAAACTTATTAATTTTAGAATTAATGTCACTTTTTTACTCTTTTCCCGTCCATGATGTAAATGAAGCATATCCAACACAATTTATTACATCTCCGTGCGCCAGTTGCGCGTTTGACGACGTCATTTTCATCAAACTCAATTCCAACGATACTGTGAAAATCATGATACCAATCGTTTGTTGTCAAAGCTATTTATATGAAATTTGGACATATTATTAAAATTTTGATTCTGGTTTCAGTTATGTTAATTTTAGTTCAATGTATTACATAGTACTAAAGAAATAAAAGCAAAGGTAATAGTTATATGCATAAATTATTCCGAATTTTGTTCGTGCGCCGACAGGCCTTATCGGCCTTCATATGAATCGTCCTAAAATTATTAATATGAAAGATATATATTTACAAGTTCACAATTTTAAAGAACCTTGAATATATTACGTCTATGCAAAATTTGGTTAGTGTTGGTTGCATGTTTAAAAAATTATAAACATTGTATACGACTTGTTGGGACAACCCTCGTAGACCTAAGATACAATTTACTTATATTCAGGAATCATTTGCAATTATTAACTTTAAATGTTTGGATCTCATAACTTTAAAATTTTGCATCTCATGTATTGCTTGTATTTTTCAAAATAAATAATGATTGAAATGTTTTATTCTATTAGGTTTAGCGTTTTGTTTGAATGTGATTATAGAAGGGTAAACAAACCATATTACTAGGTCTCCGGGAATGAACGAATCTACTTTTCTGTAGAGGAATTTCTGTAGAAGAAATAAAATGTCTACTGATCGAAAATTCTTTGTGCTATCAGTGCCCCAATACTTAGTTTGTTGTTTTTATTTGAAATATAAATGGGAAACATAATTTAATATTTCATAGATTTTAAAATTGATTTAACACTGAAGGACAGACGAGACGTTCCTTAACAATAGATAATTTTTTCCAAGAGTTTGTCATTGAAGTATTGCTACTAACATGTTTACTTACAAAAAATTGAGGTACCTTACCAGGCATTTCTGCAAGATACCAGGGTTAGTTTTTCTTATACAATCCTTTGGGGAAGAAAAGTAATTTTCCAATTTCAAATGTTTAAGTGTTTGGATTTTTTAAAAACGTTCAGAAACTGGTTTAGAAATCAGAATGTTATCAAAATTTTAAATATTTTTCATACATTACGAAGATATACAAAACAGATTTTGAGGAACATCTCGTCTGACCTTAAGGGGGGACCTATGTCCGAAAAGTCCTTGTGTGAAAATTCTGAAACTTTGATATTTTATTTACTAGCATTTGCCTAATAATTTGAGGTGAAAAAATTAATACCATTATGCGCTCGTTTTTGCACTGCGGCACGTGCCAAATTGGTGTAATTTGTTGCGAAATGGCGGATTTTCGTCAAAATCAATTTAAACAAAAAATGCATTTAAAAAACCCAAATTGCAAAAAATAAATTTTAATCTTGCATTTAACTGATTCATAAGACCTATTTCTATGAATTTAAACTAAATTCAGTGGAATTTATGCAACAGGGGAAAAAATTCTGATGCTCAATTAAAGTGACACCCCCTATTATTTCACGTAATTTTGGAAACTTTCTCATGGATAATAAAGAATTGTGAAAAAAGTCTTTGTGTGAACATGCTTGTATAAATATATTCTATAGAAATCACCTTTCTCTTTAATCTAATAAAGAAAAAATTATACCTTTATGCGCTCGTTACTGAGAAAAAAATACTTTTTATACTGCTTTCTAAAGAATTGACCTTTCTGCACTAAGACATTTAGTACATTGTTATAAGGAACACTGAAAAGAACATTTGAGACGAATTCTTTTTTCGGGAGAAAACTAGTTCTTCTTTTATATATAAAATCTTATTGTCCTGAATTGTGTTATTATACCTGATTTCATCCATTTAATTAATGTACCACACCTGTCCCCATAGACAATCCCCTATCCTGATTTCATTTCTTGCATTATTTGCCATGCAATATAGAGATTTTTAAAAAACGTTTTGTGAGTGCAACATAGAGATTTTTATATACACATGTACTTTATTTTTTAAACTTCCTTTTTTGGATAAAGAAATAAAAATACATTTAAATGCACTTTTAGGCCTAACTTAGATTTATCATCTTCAATAATTGACCTTTCTGCACTCAGACAACAGTAATAGAAGATTGAGCAAAACATTTGCTAATTTTCTTAAACCATTCTTTTAAAATAAAATTTTAGTCATTTGTGTGATTTTGAAAATGAAAAGATAAAAAAAAACATATGTTATAAGTAGATCTATTACTTTAATTTTGTTTAAAACCAATCTAAACATTTCCATTATATGATTGAATATTTGACTTCCTTTTCATATCATTATCACATGTATAAGTACATGTATACATCAATGCAAAAATCAACAGCAGAATTAGATACCAAGAATCTGAAAAAGATATATAACTTACTTAAATTTACCAATGATAATACTTAAAATATATAATAGTGAATACATATATCTATTAACATGTCTCATATTACTGTTTTTGATATATTTAAATTTCAAGATTACTTTTATCAGTTCAAATCTGTAAAGAAATGTATCAAATGTCGAAAAATGATCTGATATAAACTTGGCATTTTGAAGAGCTCATTTCATTTTCAGCATGGCATAATTCTGAATAAATCCTTACATCTGAACATGTCAATTACATGTACATATATTATATTACACATCAAACAAACACAAAGTTACATATATACATCAGTAAATCTTATTCCATCTCTGAATCAAAATACCGAACTAGTTTGGTTACCACAGCTGATCAAATAAACATTGCATGTAATACAAAATCTGAACATGCCAGGTACATATATTATGTATCACTTATCTATCAAAGACAAACATCTTTACAACTCTGAATCAAAATAATGAGCTAATTTGTTGACCACATCTGATCTAATGCAAAATTTGCATTTTTTAAAAATGCTCTTTATGCCATTCACCGTGTCTCTCCTGTGTATCACAGCTAAGTGTGACAGCCCCAGTGATGCCTCTGCCAGTTTTTTCATGAGATTCTGGGAAATTACTTTCTGAGCCACAAGAGGCTGAAGACTGTCTTTACACTTGTAGTACGATGAATAGAAAAGGAATTTTTCCAGTTCATTCTCATTGTAAATTTTTTTCATGAACAGTTCCTGCAATGCACTGACATCCTGCAGAGCATCATGGGCTGCATAATTTTTGTTGATTAAAGATTTCACCAGGGACTGCTGTGAATAGCTTCCATTAACTTCTTCTTTACTAAACAATGATCTTGAGATAGGGAGTGTGTCCAAGAAGCCACATACTGATGTTTCAAATTCCGAAAGAAGGTCATGCTGATCCAGGTGAAACAAAAGTATGGGAACATCAAAGTTCTTGATGTTATGTCCAATAATGTACGGATTTGGAAATAACTTGATAAAATCCAGAAACTTCACTAGGCCATCCTTTGCTCTCTGTGCTTCCACTTCTACGTTGTGGTGGAAGAGGGTTCCTCTTCTGAAGCTTAACCCTGTGGCTGCTGATGCCCCAGAGGTGATAGGTTTCTCGGGTAGCACGTAGGTGTCAAAAGAAGAGTCACCACACTTTGCCGCAATTTGTATAATATCTGAGTTTCTTCCTGAAATTAAATATAATCCATTAAAATTTAAGATTCATTCTAAATGAGACAGTATTTAGTGATATATCTTTAAATTGATTATCTTTGTATCAAGATATTGAGAAATACAAATCAATGTATACATGCAAATAAAGTGGAAATACCCATGTGCATAATTATAACACACAGTTCTATAATTCTCCAAACAACTCAATATTATAAAACTTATTTAGTATTATATTATCCAATCTGAAGAAAATTATATTTGAAAACTAAATTTACCAAATCCTGTAGTCTCCAAGTCAAAAAACACAAGTGATTTGTATTTTTTGGAGTTTTTTCTGTCATAGGGCTGATTTCCTCAATGTCGACTTCATCTTGACCTTGCAACTCAACATTGGTCTTATAAGTATCACCTAATGGAATAAAATGTTTTATTTAATTTTTGTAAATACCCTGTAGATTTATTTTTTATCTTTTCCTTTTAATTCATCATAAATTAAAATTATTTACCTTCAAGTACAGCACTAACACAGCATTTTGATAAGTGGTTTGTTTTTAATTCAAGTCTTCTTTTAAATTTGGAAGATCGCTTCATGATTCGTTTCTCATCAACTTATTGGCAAGCTTTATAGTGTGTTTTGCAGTAAATTTTCCAGGGCTAAGGCAGCACCTTTGATTAAGCTGTAATTTTAAAAAATCAAAGTTAATATTGATTATCACATTCACAATCTTTTTAATGATACTTCTAAAAGACAAAATTCCTTATTTTAGTTGTTATTCAAAGTCATTCATTATATATACATTTTTTATTATACATGCATTAATGTTTTTTTTAAGAAATTTTTTTTTATCTTAAATATTATCAATATTTTTTATGATAATTTAATGTATCGATCTATAAATAGAACAGAAGTACAATACAATTGTAAAGAAATTAAAACAATAAAAAAAGGAAAACAACTGTTAAAGCAAATTTCAAACACTTTCTACCTCCATTAGATAATCATAACCATCATTTTTTTGACACACTGTTGCCGAAACTCTTGACATAAGACTCTCAGAGCCACTGTAGCACCTAGATTTATTTAATTTTGAAAATATCCATAACATTCAACATTTTCATGTAAAAATTGCTTCTAAATTTGATTTTAATACATCATTAAAAATTTAACTGTGCACTGTATGTTTGGCTCCTTTAATATAAAGTTAAATCTTGTTATCACGATATTTGATGGGACTTATATATTTTTTTAAAAGTATATTTACTTACAATCTCTTTGGGGCTTTTGTGGATACCATTTGGTTGAAACTTTCATTTGCTTGAGAGGATCCAAGCTTTGAAAGATTTGCTGACTTCAAGGCATACTTCGTCATCAGGTCCCCCAAGGCCTCTTTCAAGTTAGGATCTGTAAGTGGTTTACCATAAGGCAATTTCTTTGGCTTGTATCCCTCATCTGCAGCATGGCACCATTGCCCACAAGATTCGTGTTCACCTTAAATTTGATCAGGTATACTGAGTATTGCAGGAAATAATATATATTTGGATTTTTGGGGGTAAAATCCGTGTTCATGAGATATTTACACTTACCTGCCTCCTTAACTATTTGCAATTTCCCTCTAGTTCCCCATACAATGCGTCGATATATTTTTTAGAGTAACTACGGTATCACCTCCAGTTATCCCCCTTAACTATAACTCTTCAGTTTCTCTCGACGAACTTAAAAGGTTCTGACCTTTCAACTTCCTCGAGAGGGGAGGTGGGCTGGGTGAGGCAGGTAAGTGTAAATATCTCATGAACACGGATTTTACCCCCAAAAATCCAAGTTCATTTCAATATTTCCACTTACCTGCCTCCTTAACTATTTGCAAAAGAATTTGCAGCCCAGTTTGGAGGTGGGAGAGGAAAAGTAAGTGACAAAAGTACATAAAAGGTACATAATTACCTATTTTTGCTTCCCTCTCCTTGATGAATCCAAAATTGCTGCCTTGGCAAAAATGGACTGATGATCTGGAACATCTTTCAGATAAAATGATGTAAAGGTAGATTCAGATGCCCAGTGTGCTGCCCGTAAAATCTCCTCTGCAGATACACCACAGAACAAAGCCCAGGAAGTTGACAAACGTCTAGTGTCATGTGCTCTAACTAGATTCAATGTTGCTTCTTCTGCATTATCATAAGCAAAACGAACCATGCTAACTATCCATCTTGCAATAGTGTCTTTTGACGCTTCCTTGTGGTTATTCTGTTGGTATGTCACAAATAACCTATTTGACTTCCGAATAGTTTTCGTTCTATTGATATAAATCTTCAATGCACGACAAGGACACAATTTTACATCCTCTGAATCTGTGGCGAATGAATCAAATGCAGGAATATAAATAGGGTCCCATGGTCTATTTATAGTTTGAGTCTTTGCCAGGAATTCCATATTTGGTAACATTTTCATTCCTTTCCTCTCTATTCTAAAGTGACCATCATCTAAAGTGAGGCTATGAATCTCGCTCACTCTCGAAGCTGAAGCTATGGCTACCAGAAAAACAGTTTTAAGAGTCAAAAACTTTAGATCTGCTGACTCTAGTGGTTCAAATGGATGTTTTGTGAGAGTTAACAAAACCAGTGGTAAATTCCAGTTCGGTGTCAACTGACGTACAGATGGGTGTTTATTAAACAAACCTTTCAACAATGAAGACAGTTCTGTACTTGTACCAATACTGCTCCCATTCTGATGAACTATTGCTATTGCTGACTTGTATCCAGCTATAGTCTGTGGTTTACACTTCCTCACATTGAAGAGATACATAAAAAATTGTGCTAACTCTGGTATAGATGTTGTAATGGGATTAACACCCTGTTCTTTACACCAACTGTTATATATTCTGAGTCTTGCATCATAAACTGTTTGTGTAGATGTCTTTCTGGCATTTGCCATAATTTCTGCAATTTCTTCAGAAAATCCTCTTGACTTGTGTTGCAATTTGACAGTTTCCATGCTACAAGATTGAGAGTTTCTAGATTTTGATGGAAAATCTGATTGCGATTTTGAGAGAGAAGATCTGGCCACAGTGGTAGTTTGACTGGTACGTCGATCAGAAGATCTATTATCTGAGGATACCACGACTGTCTGGGCCACATTGGAGCAATGAGAAGTACAACACTTTGCTCTTCCCGTATCTTCTGCAAGACTTTGGGCACAAGAATAGGTGGTGGGAATGCATAAGCATAAATCCCTTCCCAACTCATTGCTAAGGCATCTACTTGAAAAGCATTGATGTCCGGAAACGGGGAGCAATAGACTGGCAACTTCTTGTTTTGCGCAGTTGCAAACAAGTCTATACATGGAGTTCCTAATTGTTGGAACAATAAATTTACAACAGTTTTGTTGAGTGACCATTCTGTCATTCGAACTTTTTTTCCCCCGGGAAAGTGCATCTGCAAGAAAATTCTTCTTCCCTGGAATGTGAACAGCTCGTATTGTAATTTTGTTCTCCATGCACCACTGGAACAACTCCCAAGTTAGATAACACAGTTCTGGTGAGTGTGTCCCCCCTTGTTTGTTGATATAGCTTATCACTGTTGTGTTGTCTGACCGTATAAGGATCACTTTTCCCTTTATCAAAAACAGAGCTTCTTGAAGAGCCAACTGAACTGCCTTTAGCTCCAGCCAATTTATATGCTTCTGTTGATATTGCTGCGGCCAGACCCCTGACGTCTCCCAGTTCTCCAGGTGTGCTCCCCAACCCTGTTCTGAGGCATCTGTTATCAATGTCAGTTGAATTGGCGGATCCTGTAAAGGCATTCCTTTGAAAAAGTTTTCCCGATTCATCCACCACTGAAGGTGCTGAATTAGGATTGGCCGGATCACTATCACATGAGTAAGAGGGTGAATCTTTGGTCTCCACATTGCCAACAGGTATAACTGTATGGGACGCATGTGTAACCTTCCCATCGGAACCAAATAAATGCATGAAGCCATCAGTCCTAACAATTTGAGGATAACTACTGCTTGAGTGTGTTGACTTATTGATAAAGTCTGCACTATGTCTGAAATACTCTGAAACCTGGCCTCTGTTGGTGTCGCAATGCCCTCTACCAGATTGAAATGTGCTCCCAGGTACTCTATATGTTGGGATGGCACTAGAGACGACTTTTCCCAATTCACTAATAACCCCAGCTCCTGAACTAGATGTAATACATAGTCTCTCTGTTGAAGAAGAGTTCTCTTGTCTGGATTGATCATCAACCAATCGTCTAGGTACATGAATATTTGGATTATCATTTTTCTCAAGTGTGCCGCTAGAACTTCACAAAAAAGCATCAAATTGGTTATAAAACGAGCACCTGTATAACCAAGATAATAGGATGTTCCATGTTGTCTTGGAAAATGCATGCTATATATTTATGTTATATTAATTTATACATTTTTTATACCAATAATTTTTTTTAATTGGCGTAAAATAAAATTTAAAAAATATTTATGTCAGTAGCTAGCATACTCAAGATAAGTCTTTAAAAACTTTTTCATATTTTCAAATAATATATTGAAATTCTGATAATTGTTATAAGTGTATACTACAGTGTACACTGTCACATATTTATAATTTGAAATAAGAATATCAATCAATATACAATTACAATATATGTAGTCACTAGTGTTTAACTTGTTAAAACTTTTTTTTTAAATAACAAACTGATAACATATCTTCTCTGTAAACTCAATAAGTGCGTAACATTTGATTGACAGATATAGTTAAATAATTTACTTAATATACATGTATATTTGATTTTGACACCGTCAACAAAGTTAATCAATGTGTTTAGCTAAATTGCTATAATACTCGTACTCTCTAATTTTTACGAACATAAAAAGATGTAGCTCCTAGTCCCATTCGTTTTAGTTAAGGCATCATTATAACAGACGCAAGCCCTGCTATAAATAGGTTCGAATTTATCTGTAATAAGAATATAAATATAGGTAATAAATAAATCCCGCTCTCTCTCTCTGTCAAACACACACACCATAATTAGATTAAATGCAAGGTAGTTTCATAGTGAGTAGAGTAATCGTTTGTTATATGTGTGTTCCAACTACGCCTCAAAATTGATCCTCGTGTGAAATTTCCTAAAGCATCCCTCTACACAGAGTCCGACCCTGCAGTCCTCACACCACCACTGAATTCTTGTCTTCCTGAATTCGCCTCCATGTCCTGCACAAACAGCACATCTCTTACGCTTACCATCTGGTATTTTGGACGGAAAGTGTCTCTCGGACAATCTTGCCAAGGTTCTGTGTTGGACTGGTATCAAACGCAGCTGTCTGTTCCTACTACCCTGTCGAAACCCTCCAATAAGTTCTTGGCAAAGCTGCTGGTGAAACTTCAGATGATCCATTTTGTGTTGTACAATGAAGGAATCTCGGTAGCAAATATAGGCATTTACTACAAAGATATTATAAGATAAAATCATTTCGACTTCACAAAAATATTTTATAACAATTTACATTCCGAACAGCTTTAATCAAATATGTTTTATATACATGGAAGTGTATGTTAAAGCATATACCTGCTGCGGTTACAAGAGAGTGAAATAGGAGTTTTCTCCACATCTTTAAACTCTTGAACTATGGCTCAAATTGGAGAATTAGTTGATCTCCGAGATCGACCCCTCCCATCGTAAGATTGTAGGTATCTATTATGGCAGGAATAGAAACTTCGCGACCCTTTCCATTTGTTGTTTGTATTTGCCTATAAATATGTAACACTTTTAAACTTGACTCATCCTAAAGTTTTGATATTTTTAAAATATTTTAATAAACTAAAAATAAAAGTGTACAACCGGTATATATGTAGAAAAGCAAGTGAATTACATGTACATACATATGTTTCAATTTATGATGAGGAGCGATTACATGATGATAAATATAACTTGGTGTAAAATACTATCGAAAGGCTGGCAACTAGTCATAGTTTTCGTTAATTTCACTAACATTTGAATACAGATACCAAATTCTAAGAGGTAAAGGTAATATAAAAAGCTATTACAAACCCTATGAAAAAAAAATGTTTTCATCACTATTTATTTTCATTACAAACCAACAGAGCTACAGTCTCAAGAGATTCATTAAATTCAATACCTTGCAGAACCAGTAGTGGTCAACAAAGATACAACTCTCCTGTCCGCCCACTGTACAGCCATCACTCCAGCACGTGTCTTAACATTCACATCTCCTCTCTGCATTGCTGGGTTCTTAAAACTGGAAGGCATATCCTTTCGAGACTTGATAACTGTTCCTGTACTATGGGTGTCCTTGTCCAAGAGATCGTATACCAGTCTGGGGCTGGTGAAAAAACTGTCGAAAGTGACATGATGCTCTTTGTAGAAATGGGGTTCCATCAAGTCCATTACTGCCTGATAACCCTACAACATATACGAGTTCGCGTGATTTTCACTTAGTGTTCTTTTTTCGGTGTTTGGGGGGGGGGGGGGGGGAGGGGGTGTTGCACTCCCATGTTTTGATTAAAAAAATGCTATGTAATTAATATACTATGGTATTAATTGATCCTATACTCTTTAGCTTGTAAATATGCAATCTGCTAAAAAAATCTTTTAGTTATTTTTTTAAATCACAAAGTCTTCTAAGCATTGAATTAATTGACAAATAAAAATTTACCGCTGTCTGTTAAATTCCTCGAAATAAAATCACAGTTTAGCAACATAAACAAATAATAGAAAAGACGCGGAACAGAATATTTCGACTTGTCTTTGTTTTTATTCATGGAAAAGACATTTCAAATCTACATAAGCCCGTGTAAATCAAATAGCGGAAAATCAGTTTCAAGTTCTCGCGGAAAAAGCATACCAGAGTACTCACGTAAATGCATGATGCTTGAGATTTGAAAACAAAAATACAGAAAAGCAGGACCACCCCCATAAGTCAAGATCAGAGCACCTGACTTAACAAATAGCTCTACTTGTAGGATACTGCATTATCGCAGTGAGAATATACTTTTTTAATGAAATATCGTGTCAAATACTTTCTTAACAGTTACAATTATTATTATTCTGTCAAAAGCACTTACTTGTCCGTTCGGACTGCGTCGCTCATTTCTCCTGCCTTTGTATACGTTAATGTGATGAGTGTACCCAGAAGTGGAGTCGGACAGCACCCAAAGTTTTATCCCCCATCTGTGTGCCTTCTTATTTGAGATGTATTGTTTGAGTTGATGCCTTCCTTTAAAACCTACTATTCTTTCATCTTCACAAACATCCCAGTTAAGCCTTTATTTGAAAAACAAAATAAAATCCTGACAGATAGATAAGTTTATGATTAAAAAATATGTGTTAACAGGAAGCTCTCATTTGCAGATTTTTACTGAATTCTTAAAAAGAAATTTTAAAAAAATTGACACATAAAAGGGGGGGGGGGTATTAAAGACAATAACCTGACTTCGTTTAACATCAACATTCTGTCGTTCAAAACTTTATATACGAGTACTTAGTATATTTATTCACCGACCCCAGGGGGATATTCAGTTATTTCACATTTAAATAATATATAAATATCACACCATGACAGAATATGAAGCATTTCTAACATAGAGGTACAAATCAAAGAAGTAAGATTTTCGTGAAAAATACAGGTTTTGTAACATGTACGAAATGTTCGAACGTCAAATATCTTTGAATCCACATATAGAAAATTACAACAATAATGGCAGCACAAAAAGGGCTGAATACTGAGATATATATAAACTTTTGTTCACATTATAATTTTTAACTTCGATTTGCTCATTTTCCTCGTGAGGAAAAAATTAAGATACATGTATCTATGTGTATATGTATTATATTGAAAACATACTTGTAATTTCGGCTGAAGGTTTCGTTGAAAAACTCAATGATTGGAGAAATTTTGTGAAGTGGATCATACCCAATTTCCCCAGGTTCTGCTGCCGTTGTGTTATCATTGCAATGGAGAAACTGCAGTATGGCTTGAAATCGATTTCTAGCCATGATTTGGGAAAAATTTGGAGTTTCCATTGACCAAGCACGTGTATTACTCTCCCAGTAAGATTCATATGTTGGTTTCTTCACTACCCCCATGCTCAACACAATGCCCATAAAAGCCAACATCTCCTCTCGGGTTACGGGATACCAATCACGGAACCGTGAATGTGGACATAAAATCATGGGGGCCTGCTTCTTCTTGATATCTCCTGATCTGCATAACGGTTTGTCTCCCTTACAAGAATATCAACAATGTCGTGTTGATCATGCTGGAGAAACTTCATGAAAAACTCCAAACTTGACATACCTGGATCAAAATTGACGGGCCCTGTTTCTTCTTGGAAATCAGGGTCCGGCATGATAAACGAGCTAGGATCCACTACATTAAACCACGGACCTCGAAATGTAGTAAATTCTTCATTATCATCATCATCGGAATCGAACACGTCCGAATCTATGTCAGAAGTAATGTCCGAATGGTGCGCCATACTTTGTTTTTTTCAACGCTAGCGTACTCACTCATAACCTGACGTCACAATTCAACGTCAACGTAACAAAATGACGTCATATAAAGACCAGTACATATACAAAAATAAAGGCCTATACTTGTGTCAAAATTTAGATATGACTTTGTTTAATTACACAAAAGATAAATGGCAAATAAAAGATAAAGTAAATATTTTTTTGGAAAACGACATTTTTGTCGGTTTGGCATTGACACAGTAAACGACATTTTTGTCGCTTTGGCGTCGAAAGGGTTAAGTGTAATAGACGTTTGAGCTATAATATTGTTCGTTATCTCAACATATTTCTTTTGACATCCCAGCTAACAAACAGAGATCATAAGTATGGAGATAGTAAATAAGAACTTATAAAGAGAAAAGCGGAAAAAATAAACCTCCCATAGCTTTTCTTTAAAAGCAAACTTTATGCTACAAGACATGTTTCGCTTCTATTTATACTTGTCCTGTCCTTCTCCTCATCTTTCTCATTGGAAAATTCATATGAAAAGAAAAAAGGATTTAAAAATGATCTTTCATTTACTCAAAATAACTTTATTCAAAATCATTCAGAGTATTTTTTAAATATAGATAACAGATTCAACACCCCGATTTTGCAAAATCTTAAGGAGAACTAAACATTAAGAAAGTATTTTATGCAAGATAAGAATTTTGTCTTAGACTTTGTGACCCAAAAATTAATAAAAATTCTTTCGCTTTAGACTTTTTGGCCTCAAAATTAATAAGAGTCCTGTAAGTCAGAAGATGTCAAATTCATTTTAAATGCTAGATACCATTCGAGAACTAAATAAACATAAAGATGGACGGTCGGAAAAACGGCAGAGTCGAGTTAACAAAACTATGGTCTACAACTTAAAGCCAAGACTGGGGGGGATTTCAAAACTATGCAAATTTGCTTACATGTACAATATAAAAATCTTTATTATGAAATATGTTATTACCCGTCATGCGCTGGGAATTTTTGAAATTGTGTCGAAATTTGTGATAAGACTAACAAGCCATCAAGTCGATGTGCCTCGTTCAACACAATCTGTCATGATCTTATTTCGGTGTGCAATGTCCGTGTACGGACTGTACAGTGTGATACAAAAAATTGGGCATTTTTAGCCTTATTTTTGAAAGATGAAAGCGATTTTATTTAAGTTTTTACTTGTCAGCTTTGTATATTTTAACCAAAGATAAAAATTGTTATAAATCTCATAGTTACAGTTGAGACGTTGGCTTAGAATGAAGCAAACGCATTCTAAAAGAATTTCGTTATTTCAGTCATTTAAGTTCATGTTTAAATTTCCTTTCTTCGAAATTGACATAGATATTAATTAAACTTTTAAAATTACACTTTAGACAGACTGAATTTTCCCCTGAAGAAAGGAAACTCGAGCAATAAAACACAACTTTTCATGGTATACCAGCAAGTTAAGAAACCTAATGTTTTGATAATTTCAAACAAAACAACAAGGAACATTAACGTTTGTGCATATTTCCAAAAAGCGTAAATAACTTTTAACAGGAAATGTTGGGGCTCAATCATCGAGGTTTACATGTAAGTTGCGGGACCCAATACGTCATCTTCAAATCTGAATTGATGTATTACAAGACGAAAGCGATAAAATCCTTTGTTTCATCAATTAAAGCACTAAGCACTCAAATGTTCACTCAAATTAAAAAGATCTAACTTTTGTTAAAATTTACAAGGACAGTGTCCGATCCTTTTTTTCACTACTAACCCTAAGCTGGTGAAAATGGGACCTCTCTTCTCTCGCAATGTGATTATTTTTTGTTGGATTTTTACTTTCATCGAGGCAGAAAACATAACCGGTAAGATATTCATAATGACATATAAATCAGTATGTATAGAAATATTTTTGATGTATTAATATTTATTATATTTTGATTACATAAGATGTTTTTGACAAACGATGGAACTCCATAAATTATACTTAATAATTTTATGCTACAATACTATTTGAAAAGTCTTTAACTAACTTTTCCATTTTTATTATTTTTTTTACCAAACTGTTTTGATAAGGAGACATTGTGTGAATCAGTTCTGTTCTCCTGGCTTGCATTTTGTCCTTCTGTAATTATTTGTGACAGAACTGTCACTTTTCTAAAAAAAAAAAAAAAAATCTCAAAATTTGTAACATAGAAATGTGTTGCAATATTATTCAAGTTCAAATTTCCACGACTATTGTAATTCTGCATGAAACATTCTGTTTAGTTTCAAGATCTTGAGTTATGCAACTTTGTATCCTTGATTCCGATTTAAAAAAATACTTTATAGGTTCGTTGCAGACCAGTGAACTACAGATCTGCTTATAATTATACATGTAAAACTACAATAATTTTACACCGTTTTGGTCAGTTCTCCATGGCACCTGATCCCACCTCTGATGTTTTGGAGGTCCGTGTTTGCTTTGCTCCTATTTTGTATTGTTTTATGGAATACTGTTTGCTATCTCCATATCCTTGATTTTGGTTGACATACAGTTTTGCTTGAAATAACATAGTTTTTATCCCCCGTGACATTTGGAGTGCATTACAAAATTTATAATGCATGATTAGTCCTATATAATAATGATCGTAAATGGATACCTAGACTGTACATAAATTTTTACAAAGAAATATATATATATAGGGCTCCAGTAAATGTTCTACCAAGCATTCTCTCGTCTTTTTCACCAAATATTGGCTGCAGTGAAAAAAGAAACTTCGGGAGTAGTGTACAATAATATTTTTGAGAACTGGTGCAAATTAAATGTGTATACTTAAAAATTTGATACAACAAAATTTTGTAAAAATCAATGCCGTCAAAAGGTACTGCTTTTCAACACTTATTATCTATCATTCAGTCAAATGCTGACTGACATTTTTTACTAATTGTTTAGCCATTATTGCACACTCAGTTATCGATGAATTTTTCCGTTATTTCACCATGATGGCAGAGAGCACACGGCGGGTGTGACCGGTCGACAGGGGATTCTTTTTCCTTAATGGCTTATTCCTTAATCCAATCTCTGATGTTTTGGAGGTCCATGTTTGTTCTGCTCCTGATTTTATTGTTAAATGAAGTTTTGATTGAATTGAACTTAATTTATTGTAATAGATATATATTGTACATACAATAAATTTGGGCACAAGTTCTTAAAACATTTTTTCCTCTCCCTACTTTATTGCCGGAAGGAAAAAATTTTAGTGAATTTATTTGTTATAAAAATTACATGGTATCTAGTTATATCTTTAATATGACCTTAAGTTTGAGCAAAATCTTATACAAGACTTTAAAAAAATCATTTGCATGTTAAATAGCTAACAGATAAAAGGTCAATGATACCTCAACTAGAAATATAATAAAAAAAGCAGTATTGTAGTCTTATATTCACCACTTTAATATTAAATCTTTTTTTATCATGTGGAGGACATAAACATTACAATCCATGTTTTTAATGAGTGAACATTTTCAGAGGTCAATGATTCACTAAAACAAGGCATCGTAACAGTCGTCTTAATGAGGATATTTGTCGAATTGATAGATCTTGGTTAATGTTACTTTGACACTTAATTAAGTGTAATAGGTGCACCTAAACTTGTTTTAATTCTAAATGAAGTTACACTCCTACAAAAGAGATTGACTAGAATTCTGTCCATATCTCTAATACGAGGTTTTTACGTGCAAAAAATATTTGAAAAAGACTACCACAATTTCTCTTTTGTTGATAAAGGAGAATCGGGTGTTTTATATTAAACACAATATTTTCGTCACAGTGGAAACTGTTACGATTAATTGTAATTTCTCATTTATAACTGTTTAATTGCAAAGAATTGATTAGATAATTAATTTCATATAATTTTCCTTCCTTCTTTTGTGATAATTTTAACTTTTCAATCGTCAACTTCCCTTACCTATGCAGCAATATACCCATGTCACCAGCATATGGTGTTTACATGTATATAAGCAGTCTTATTAATTTAAAGCCATCATTTCGTAAGTTCAGTGGTCGATACAATGACCTTGTCAATATATACAATTTGTCACTGAGTCAAAAGCTGACGATTGACTTTTTCATATGGATTGTTAGGTCATCCCCACTGAATTGTCAACAGATGTTTCCATTTTTTTCACCGAATATGACTAGGAGCTTACGTTGGGTGTGACCGGTCGGCTAAGGATGTTCATTTCTCCATGGCACCTGATCCCACCCCTGATCTTGTAGAGGTCCATGTTTGCACTGCTACTAGTTTTGTAATGTTTAGTAAACTTTTGAGCTCGAATACTTTTTATTTTCACCACAAATTTCATTGGTATAAAATTTACTAAATGGAACCCCGCTCAATTAATTTATAAGTGCAGGGATATTATAAACCACTGATAACTAATTCCAATTCTGTAAGTTATACAAATTCTTAAATAACACTTGTTTTCCAATGGGCAAGCAGATACTGTTATAAGAGATATATTACAAAAATGTTTATTTCTGTTTATGGTTAAATATGGTTAATCATCATCTTTGTAAAAGGGAATTGTACTGTGCAGTAAACTAATTTTGTTACATAAATTAGCATAAGCAAAATAAGCATCGTATTCACTTACAGAAGTTGTTTTCCGCAACATGTAACTGTCAGTTTGGCACTCTTAAGGATGCCTGCCGCTATCTGTAACTTCCACCCCTGGTGCTCGTCTGTCGGTTCCGATCGTCGTCAGATGGTCTCCAACCCTCACTGGATGTTTCGACCCTTAACTATGACATCCTCCAGTTGGTGGGTCTGCAGTGGTGGCCAATCCACTACTCGATTGATCCCGACGTCCAGCACAGATCATCTAGGTGGTGCCATATCCAGCAGAATGACTTTTTTGCTGCTTATCTCAGTCTCCTTGCTGCTGTCTCGCAGACTTTTCCTGATACACCTAATCGTGTGAGCAGCTTCCACACTGATTGCGCTGGGAAACCTCTACAGCCGCCCTCTATTGGAAACAGCCAGACACTCCAGCCTCTATCCTGCAGTCTGCCATGAGTTCTACATACTTCAGTTCGTCCTCTCATGTGCCTCCTCATAATTTTCTTCCCATGGCACAGTCAGCTCTTTTACAACCAACGACTTCAACTGTTGGGACACTAAAACTGCGTTTGGTCATAGGTTGATTTTTGTTTTTGAAAACTAACTTCTTGTCTAGATCGACTCTGAGCTCCCAGTCATGTCCTCTACTCAACACTGATGTCCGCCTTGCCGCTCTTGTGTCAGCCCTTGCTTCACCCTGTCTCACAAACTGTATCTGCCTCTTGTCTGCTGGTCGTTTCCTTCTTCTTTCCACCTCCAGCACACCAGTCAACTCCCGCAGGACTTTTTCATGTCTCCATCTATATATTACCTAGGTCTGCGCAACTTGGCATCCTGATAGAATATGCGCCATTGTCCTTCTCTTTCCACACAGCTTGGAGCTTGGATCTTCGCTTAGCCCCCCACTGTTGCAAGTTTACAGGAGATGGGAGCGTGTCATACACTGTCCTCAGCAGGAACGAGATTCTAAACTGGTCCTTCCTCCACAGTTCTGCCCAGGTTATTCCCCACTCCGATAAGTCCCATTTCAATCAGACCCCCTGTATTCAAAGTTCTGTTGATTTTGCTTTCAGTATCAAGCTAGCATTAGGATCGGGATTTTAAACAAAACAGTTTATCCAGAATAAGCACCAGTAAGCAAAGGATAAAACTAACATTACCTTACTTAAAATCAGCATTATCCTAGCTGCTACATGTAGTATCAGGGAATTAATGTGATTTATGCAGTAAAAAATTGAAGGCAAAGGGAGAAAGTTGGTTAATAATTACATTATTTATTCATAATGAAATAGTATGATCAGAGGAATATAAACGACACTTCAATTGTTTTAAATGACAATGCTGAAATTTAATTATCTACTTACGGTAGCATTGGCCTGATCATAAAACAGTTTCAGGATAAGGATAACTAGCAGTATATCAAAAAACAAAGGAAGCATTCAAATCAGCACGCAAAGGAAGCATTCAATCAGTATGAATGCTGTAACAAAACAAGTAGAGCTTTTTGAAAAAGCTTACCGTCTTTAGCAACAATATTAAACAGTAAACTGATCCACACCTATCAGGCCGTATATAATTCTTTTGAATTTCTTGATTTTGTATTTCTTCTTTAGCTTTTTACTGGCATTAGCCATACCACGGTTGTCGCTCGGTCATCTCCGTAAACTTTGACTGGCCGAGAGCTTTCGGCAAACCTGTATCCATTCCTTTCTTCAAACAAGAAAGGGGAAAAGAATAATATCAAATTGTAAAGCCTGCAAGCAATAAAAATCAAATTTTATTTATAATGAAATTAAAGAGATCTTTTTATTTATTGCTAGGAATTAATTACTGCTGATTTTGTTGTTTGTTTTGTCATTTTTTTAAAGATTGGAAATCTTGCAAAATTGTTAAGTCGTACGAAAATTAGATCATCAGAAAATTATCTCCCTTGCCTTGAACAGCATTTCAACCAATGAAATAAATGAAAAAATTACCAATCACAAAAGAGAGGAAGTGTTTAGATAAAATACCGTCTTCCAAGGAAGAGTATTATGCACTGAAAAATCTGCATATGTATTTCCTCTGAAAATGTAAATGACTGTGATTCTTGAAAGGGGATACTCTATGAAATTCAAAATTCAACTCGATATTTACATAAAATAAAGACGTATTATCAACAAGCAATATACCTACTTCCATTCATACGTAGACTCGACATATCCCAATGGACTTGAATTAAATAATGCTAAGAATTCTGACCTATTTGTTTCATATTTCGATACTTAACTAGAAAAAATAGGTATCATAACAATAAAACTAAGAAAAATAAGATAACTTTTAACATTTCTTCTATCAACTTTTCTTACTTATGCAGCAATATATACTTATCACCTGCAAACTGGTGTATTGTTATGTCTCTATATAAGTGAAAAATTCTCGAATGGGACGTAATACAAAATACAAATCAACAAAATACAAAGAACAATCAACATTCTAGATGGCATTAAGAATAAATAAATCATAAAAGACAAATAAAATTGATAGACTTACCAGTCTATAGAAAATATTACCCACACCCTTGAAATCCTTTAATCAGCATTCATTGTATGAAATTAGATTAACTAGTTATATTGTCTAAGTGATATCAAAACACTTTTTTCAATCAGATTCATTTCCTGCATAAGTATGTTTTATGTTTTAAAATATATCCACACGTATTTCTGTGACGTTGCACATTTTAATGAATAAATTTAAAAAAATATATATCAATGTTTGTATTTGTCAAATTTTATTTGATGAAAAAAATTACATGTTATTCTCTTTTCCCTTCTTATGAAAATTAGTAGGCTACATGTTAATGACTTTATATTGAGTGATCTTTAATATAATGTTGTTTTCATCATTGGAACTTTGATAAGTTAAACTTGAATATCAACGATTTTTGTTTTTAAAAAAATCTTGATTAATCACTGTAAACTGACTAAACAATAATCCAGTTATATGAAGCACGTTTCAATCGATTTTTTTTTCAAATTCAGGGAAAACCCTTCTCCCAGTTTTTCAACTTAATATGCATTCCATCATTTTAAATCACCATTGTTCATTTCATTCCTGCATAAACCTAACTGTTATATCTGCGTTACTTATTTACTGGCCAAGCCTTGATTGATTTAGGCATCTAAGGCTAAAAATGGGTTCAAAATAATCTATGTTAATAAATGTATATACATGTAAATACATTAAAGTCTCTTAAAAACATTTTTGGGTTAAAGTATTGAAGAATTCTAAATACATTTTTCTGATCCTTTTATTTAATGTAACTCATCTTCAGGCACTCCTTGTCCTTTCTTCTTTCTCTGTTATATTCAAATGTATGTATTTAGAAAAATTATAAAAGATTTACTCCGATTCAAATGTAAACCTTGAACCAAGAGCTTGCATATATCAAAGAACTATAAAATTGTAAACAGTGTTCGGTTTCAGGGGGTGTTAATGTACAGTTTTCTTTGGCGATTTACTAGTAGTTTTATATACGCTTCTTATATTTATTGGAAGACCTATGCAATTAGGGCCAGGTGAGGATTCTGGTCTTATTATTTCGGGGGGAGGTGGGAGAGTTTTTCCACATCAATTCTAACAAATGTTGGACTGAGATATGTTTGGCAAGCAGGAAAAGAAAACAAATTGCACAAGCCTTGAAAGCCTCTACCAGGGAGGGTAGCGAGTTATTCCATTCTTTCTATTTCAGGAGGGGTGTCCATTCTTCCTTTAATTATAACAAATATGTAGCCATTTAATGACTCTTAAATTCCCTCTAGATTCATGGATGATTGTTCTTTCGCAGCATTTTTTTTTCATTTTTCAGATACATCAGGTATTGGAATTGTTGTATCTCTCTTTAGTCCCGGACATTTATCCCTGATCGCAGGAAATCCAGACAAAATGAATATGACCTCTATGAAATCCGGCAAAGGCATGCTACCTATTCAGACTTATTATTTCAATACGCCACGTGCAAAAATTGTCAGCATGGCATCAGACCCGAGGAAGAACACACTGTTTATGCTAGATTCTGACTCTCACAGCATCTACAGAATGGAAAACTTTAACATTTGGGTGAATGATTCTTTGAACATCGTACCTATTCAGAAAGGAGTATCCAAGACTTCTGCTCAGATAACATATGATTGGTACAGTGAGATGATTTACTGGGTAGACGGGTATTATAATTGGATAGGAATGCAGCCAGCCTTTACTACAGATAATACTCTCTATAAAATCATTATCCATAAAGGAATAAGTAGGCCAGAAGGAATTGCAGTGGACCCTTTAAGTGGGTAAGTTAAAAATAAACGACACTGATATTATCTTTATTAGGGTTTCAGCAGACATGTCCCGACTTTGCGGTTTCAAACAGCAATGTTATGAAGTATTTAAACGAAAGTTTGCAAACTGTAAAGAATATATGTATACAATTTTATCAATATGAACGAAAATGTAAGCTGCTGGTTTATTTATTCTCGGGACAGACAGAAGTCAGCTATTCCATTTTGTTTCTGAAGTCCCGCTAGCTTACATTAGGATATAATTTGATAATCTGTTTCCTACAAAGGTTTTCATCTGAGTGCTTCTCTTTCAACATTATATGCACCTTTATTAACATTTTCTCTTTGCATGGTTAACAATAGTTAAAAATCGAACTTATGTAAATGTAATCAAAACTTTGACAACAATAACGAAGTTGCAAAATATTATATTTATATCATAATTTTGTCGAATAATATCCTTGAAAATATAATTATTGTTTTGTCACCTCTGATGTTTCGGAGGTCCGTGTTTGCTCTGCTCCTATTTCGTATTGTTTTATGGACTTTGATATTGAATACTGTTCGTTATATCCATATCCTTCTTGTATGTATTTTATCATTTTGCAAATATATAAACATCGAAAGTTGGGACATGTTTGCTGAACTAATCTGCAGAACAAAATTCATGATAGTTCAATATATAGTAAATCTATTCCATATAAAGAAATACCGAATATCATTTTGATGCAAAATAAATGCGATCAAGGAAAACATTTCTTTCAGAATTCGAAGAATGTTTTGATAACTTCCTTGATTTGTATTGATTTGTTGCATATTCCTATTTGACATATCCGCACTTATGATGGATTGCACACTACTTTTGATGATTTTTAGTGAACTCATTTTTCTATTTTTAAACTATAAACGAATAAGCAGGATATATTTAGGTATGTCATTGAAAGGAAAAAGAAACGCAAGTTGCAAATTTTTAATTAGTAGTCACAAATAAAAAATTAATATGAAAACTTTCAATTTGAAAAACTCAGATTAATTATTTCTTATTGTTTTGCAATGGGTACAATTTGGATTTTTTTAAAAGAAACTTTTAAAGCTTTGAATTATAAAACCATTTTTTTCTGCGCAGTAACAATTTACATCGTAGGGTTTTAAAACGCAAATAATAAGTTATTTATCTTTTTAATAAGGAATGATCAGTCTGTGTTTATGTCAAGGTGACATATTTCATACAGAACCAGGATGGACAATTACGACTAAATAGTGCAAATTCCGCACACAGTCAAAAATCTACTTCATCAAATCTCCCGTCTCGCATTTTGGTCTCAAGACAGATTTCCTGTCAAATCGCCAACATTTTGGCTCTTTTTAGTCATTCATTATCAAAAACAGGGAAACACATTTTAGTATTTTCCCCGGAGAAAAATAACTGGGTACACCCTAAAGATTTCACAACGTTTTAAGACCAGAAATATAAAAGTTTTGGAGAATTCTAATAAAAAAAATATTTATTTCATTTTTTTTGTAATCGCAAGATTTCAGCAGCTGTAATAGGTACCTAGGCTTACAAATAATTGATAACCTTTGTCTTTTGAAATCTTACAGATATCTGTTTTACTCAGATATGGGAAAACCTCAAAGAATTGAGAGGTCTTCCTTAATTGGAGAAGATAGAACTCCCATCATTACTTCTGGTGTAGATCGTGTATATGACATCACCGTAGATCAGAAAGAGCAGAAGTTGTACTGGGTAGACGCGGGAAGACACACGTTAGAATCGTCTGATTATGAAGGAAGAAACAGACGACTTCTAACGAGGATGAATTCTGTCAAATTCACTTCAGTTGTCATTTTTGGAGTATGATTTTTTTTTTTACGTTTGCTTATCGATTAGTTTTTAGTAGAATTTCTTTCGAAAATGAATGTTCCTGCAGAACTTTAACTTTGTAATTTCTGGTTTGAAAACTGCTTATGGTAACAACCTTATGTTTTTAAAGTTGTAGAAGGCACTTCAAAATGTGTTTGTCTCGCAACAAGCTTTAGAGGAATATCTGTTTTTAGGACTTTGTGTATGTAACCTCATTTACCAGCAACACCGTTACCAAACTTAGTAAGAGAACAGGGGATATAAATTTAATTGTCGTTGTGGATGATGGGACACCGGTGGGCGCCGAAATATGGGATCCAACCAATAAAAAACCTGTTTCTAGTAAGCATGCGTAGTCATGATTTAATTACAATTTCAATTTGATGCATTTTTATTTCATTATCGTAATCATTCACGTCTCTTAATTCACATCGACTTTGATTTAGTCAACATACTTCATCATAAGTTATTAATATTTTCTGAGTAGTGTCTCTTGTGGAAAAAATTATCAATAAAGTATAGTTCAGTTAATTGATAGAATGTCTTTAAAACAATTATCTTAAATCCGATATTAACGATTATTGTAAATAATTGATGAAAAGAATAAAGCCCTACATAAATATTTTCATGTGAAAATAGAAATACTACAAGTAAGTTAATTGTAATACTTAGAGGAATGCCCAGGATATGGATGCAAACATATGTGTGTTCACATGCCAAGCGGACCCACTTGCATTTGCAAAGAAGGATATACCTTGGCAATGGACAAGAAAGATTGCATTGACGGTAAGGAAAAATAAAAATCAATGAAAAAAATGTTTAATTTTGTTTATTTGTATGATCATTTATTTGCCTGGTTTTAAGTTAGCAAAAATCGGCGACATATTTAAGGTATGATTCTTCTCTGGTGTCTGACTAGATAAAATACTGAGAGTACATTAAATTTTGCTTATATGTCTTATATATTTAGGTGTAAGAGATTTAAAAGACCATATTTTACTTTCCTCATAATTGTACACTTTTAAATAGAAAGGGTAAACTGTGTTTGAAAACTAGCAGGGACTATATTTTTGGCAGAATGGTGGCGCATGAAAATATCTTCTTTTCTGCCTCTCAAAATTATTATAGAACAATTAATTTAGTTATAATTTTTACACAATCAAAGATTTGAGGAACTTTTCAAATGTAAGTTTAATTAATAATAAGAGACAAAATTTCCTAAATATATCAAATAAATATGATTTTTCAAACAAACTAAAGCTATGTTAGCTTTTATAAGCTCCCAATGTGAGTACAGATATGAGCCAAAAATCCGTAAAAAATATTTTTTTTCTCTTAGTAAACGATTAAAACTTTTTGTTTTGGTATCGTTTTGTATCTTTATAATACAACTTTACCATATATAAAAATGAGAAAAAGTTAAATATAGGAAATATATAAAAATAACTAATATATCCTAGAAATGTTTAAAAAAAGTAGAGAAAATTTGGATAAGCAAATATCCAATTTAATAAGTTATTTATGTCAATTTGGTAATATCATCTTATAGGCCCTTTATGGTAATATCTTTTTCGGCAAAAAGAAAAATATTCAATCTTTTGAAATGCAAGTGGGGATCGCATAATTGGCAACAGTAACTTTTTTATTATTAATATCCAGGGAAAAGTTAATGACCTTGACACGACCTTGTCTCTAATATAATTCGGTATTATCTAATATCACTTATACCATCACTTTGTTGTCTTCTTGATTCTGTGAAAATTTCATTAATTCTTAAATAAAAAAAATATGAGAAGAACCCTACCTTCAATCGCAACTTCTCGGGCCTTTCCGACTAGTGGAAAAACGACCTCGAATGTATATGGTAGACGTCATGACAACCCTTCCTTTTCACGATCTTTAAATATAAATGCATGGATACCTTTTATCCGTGGAATATGGAGTTTAACTTTATTCAATTAATGATATTACATAAAATATACTATAGAAGAAACTTCTATCTCTGTCTATCCTATATTTGAATAAACAAGAAATGTATAGATTTTTAACATCCGGTGATGTTAATACATTCGAGGTTGTTTTTCCGACTTCTGACGGAAAGACCCGAGATGATGCGATCGACCCTACCTTATGATCCATATAATGCGCTTACTTTCAAATTCAACTGGAAAAAAGGAAAATGTACAAAAAAATTAATGTAAGTGATATTGTGTAATTTATGACTTTAGCAACCTTTTATTATAATTTTGCAGAAAAGCTACAAAGAAGCATACTTTTAGCCAACAGTACTCACATTTGCAGTATGGATATCCGTCACATTACGGCACTGAAGGAAGACATGTTCTGTCATGCGGCCAATCTTAGTGGCATTATGTTCATGGCTGTCGACATAGCAAACCAAGCTCTTCACTACGTGGATTCAGAACTTCATGTCATTATGCAATATTCCATGATCTTCAATGTCAGCACAACCTTAACTGACGCAGGTCCTAATGTAACAGGTATGTTTTACGATGATATATATTACACTTTTTTAAAAAAACATACATGCCAGGCGCGGATCCAGAAATTTTTTCCAGGGGAGGTCCACCCTAGTCAAAAAAAAATCCAATCCCAGAAATTTGTTGACAAGCAGCAAAAAAAATTTTAAAAAAAATTTAAAAAAAACTCCCCAAACGTCAAAAACCTATTTCGTGGGGGGGAGGGGGGGGGTAGTGGTGACTTCTATTGCCTCAAATCTTTCACTTTTCATACCCATTCCACACATATTCGCGTTTACTAGAGGGGGTCAGCGTTTTCCAGGGGGGTCCATGGTAACTTTTTTCTTGTTTTAGTATATACATTTTTTAACCTGCTAAATTCCAGGGGGGGTCCTGACCCCCCCGACCCCCCCTCTAGATCCGCGCATGCATGCGTAAACAGTTCCCTACGGAACGCATTTATGTTTTTAAAAAGTTATTGATTACCCAGATGTTTCAATTTTGGTATCAAATGTTCTTTTGCCAAAATGAATTTAATGCTTACATGACTGTACGCATCTTCATACAGGCATTTCGATATTAAACGCATTTAACGTTATTACAACGATAAATATACATGTAGCTTCACATAGAGATCTTAACTTCTTTTTGTTATATTTTCCATAGTTGATATTTCATTCAGGCACTTCGATATTAAACGCTTTAACGTTATTACAACAATACATATATACATGTAGCTTCACATAGAGATCTTAACATCTTTTTTGTTATATTTTCGATAGTTGATATTATACAAGCCATCAATTCTTTCTTTGTAAAATTAGACTTGAAATTCAATTCTCAGTTCCTGTGTTGGAAAAGAATACAAGCACTTATATATAGTAATTATATAAACATGTGTATCATAAAGGATTATGCTATTGAACACCTAGCTGTCTTTGATAGGTTTTGGTTATGACTGGATTGATGATAATGTGGTATGGAGTACATCAGACATTATGCAAAAAGGCTCAATTCGTGTTTTCTCCCTCGGCAAATGGGCACAAACAAAACTCTATACTGATTTAAATAATCCCACCTACGTAAACATTAACCCAATTGATAGGTAAGTTATGATATTTATATTAAAATTATTTTCTAAATTGCATAATTAAACCCTGCAATTATCCAGAGTTTGAAGTTTTAATTGAACAACTTGCTCTGTTTGAAAGATAAATACAAATAAGGCAAAAAAAAAAATTAATCAATAGTTTCTCAGGCCAAAAAAATTTAAATTCAATGCGGCAGGCAGGCTTTTTTTTAACAGGTTGACAGGTTTTACACCTTTTTTAAGCCATTTGTTCAATAAAATGATAATATCTACTAATTCCTAATTTTTGTTCTCTGAAATAAGTTATAATATGTATTCAACTTTAAATAAATGCTGATCCAAATTTTTATTTTAAAGTTAATGTAAGCATTGAGAAATGTTTATTTATTTGTAAAAAAAAAAAAATATAAATTTTGATTTTAAAAATATATATAAACAAGAATGAACATAGTGGAAAAAATGTTCAACATATAAGTACGATTTATCACAATAAATTATGCTACTCTCTTTAAATAATGCTATTCCAAATTTTTATTTTAAAGTTAATTCATTAAATACTGTAAATTTTGAAGAAATATATTGTTTTTCTAATAAAAACGTCTCTCTTAGCATTTCTGAAAAGGTGAATAACTCGATTTCTTTTTTCAATTTGGAAAAATAGAAAATTGAGTTATTTCCCCTTTCAATATGTCAATAAAATTGATCAATGGGGCCGTTTTTGAACTGATGCGGCGGTGCCTGAGAAACTATTGATTAATTTTTTTTTTGGCCTAACGGTATTTTCTGCTGTGTTATTTCAGATGTAATAATTTTTATTTAAAATCTGTATGTATACTTGCACATTTTCATCCTGAACCACTTTATTCATAGTCAATGCTTATATCTACTTTTTTGAGAGTTTAGTGTAACAATATTAAAGTTAAACTTTCACCATTTATTGAGAATCTGAATTATTAAAGGGAAATTTACTGGATTGAAGGCCTCGGTAGGAATTATACAATAAAAGTTGGAAAATTTGATGGAAGTCCAGCAAAAGTGATTGTTAATAGTACTAACCTCAAAAAACCTACTGGGTTATTTTACCACGTGGAAAAGCATCGGTGAGTAGAATAGAACCAATTCATTTTCTGGAATTAATGAACTGTTTAAAGGTGAAATATATAATGGTTACTCTAGCATAATTTATGCTTTTGTTTTTTTTTTATTCTTTAAAAACACTTTGAATAACTTTGTGTATATAATGGCAAACCTTTAAAAGAAATGTACTTTTATTTATCGATACACAGTTTGCAAATATTTTTTTCTTTGTAGGTTGTTTTGGATAAATTGGGACAGTATCCACAGTTGTAAAACAGACGGTTCTGATCTGACTACACATCTACATTCTATTTCTGTGCTATTCTTTGGGGTAGAACTTTTGGTCTATAAGGTAATCAAGATTTGAAAAATGGTTTTGATTATAATAGGAAATATCGTTGATACCCTCTTAGAAATTTAAGTTGTTTTTATTACCGGTACCAGAAAAAGCTTCAAATTTAAGTTTATATGAGTTATTGCCTTACATTTGAAGATCTATGCTTATTTTCAACAGGTAGACCACCTTTTCAAAACACGTTGCAAAGCTTTACACCCATTCTCAATATAAGGGCACAAATGCCTCTCTGATTTTTAAAAAAATGAAGTTCAAGATAACAATTTTTCTATCAATTACCTTTGAAAAAAAGTATCTGAAGATTTTGTTTCCAGATTTTTTTTCATCAAATTTCAATACATGGAATAATGACAAGACGGTAAAGTAGAGGGTGATTTTATTCAGAAATGTAGCTTGAAATGTACGTTACTCTTTCTTCAATGTCCAAAAAGATATGTCAAAAAAAATATTGTCATTAAAATCACAATTGGAATATCTCATCTTAACACCAGGACATCCTACCAACTCTGTCAGCAACATATTTTCTCGGCATACGAACGTGCGTTTGATTTTTCCTTTCAAAAAACAAAGGTTACTTTTTGATCCATATGTATAAAAACATTTTTTTTAAATATAATCTTTAAATTCTTCTCTCTGTTTTGTTTAGAGCGATCAGTTTGGAATCTTGTCATTTTCTATAGATACTGGAACTTAACATGTACATGTAGTAAAATTCTATTTTGTAGTTACTGTCTTTTTTAACACATATCCATGCCGATTTAGAAAACTACGTAAATATAACGTACATTTCAAGATATATTTCTGTTTAATAAAAAGCTTAAAATTCATCTAAAATTCATCGTTTTGTTTCAGTTTATTCCAAAAACGATTCTCTATGTTATCACATTGTGTTATATGTCAAAATCACCACTATAAAGATACGATTGCCTCAGAATATGAGTAGGTAACGTACATTTCAAGCTTGTAATAATATGTAAATTAGTAATAAGAAAATATTGAAAAAAAGCAATTATTGACATAAAAATCATTTTAATGAAGCGTTTTAACGCAGTAATGTAAGAAATCATAATGTAACAAACGAGGTTATTTGTCATCAACTACATGAATGTCACGTCACTTCGGTAACGTTCATTTCACATATTATTGGGGAGTCCCCTCCACCTCAGTTCATTACCATTCTTTTGTGCTGTTTCGCTGAAATTGACACCGGTCGTAGCTTAGTTACTTTCAAATTTAGCCCATCAATAAATAAAGGAGAACAAAACTATCAGGTGTATAATCTTTGTGTTTGCTTGTAATGTGGTTGAAATAGAATTAAGCGACAGGGACATTGCACAATAAAAACTATTTATCATCACAAAGAAAATGTATTTATTGTTATGAAAAGAAATATATATGATACAAGGTTTAACGTATCAGAAAATTTTTACTTGAGAATCAAAACTATATATTACACAGAGGGGATTCAGCATAATATTTGCCTCGGCGACAGTAACGTACATTTCAAATAGGTTACTATATTTGAATTTGGAACTCCTTAAATACCCTTTAATATGACTATTTATAATGTTGATTTAAAAATTACATCAGTGGTATTTCTTCTAAATGAAAATGAGGTTTGAGCCCTTATATTGAGAATGGATGTTTAACCGTATTACCATAAACAAAACATTTGATAATCTGTTGGCATTTCCTTTGTAGGATCATGCAATATGGACACATGGTAAAAATTTCGTAATGACGGGTAGTATCTTTAGAAATTCAGCAGAGGTTAAAATTGGCACCAATGACTATGGAAAACTAACTGGATTGGCAATATATGATCCAGACTTACAGCGGTATAAGAGAGGTATGCAGTCTTTATACAGACAACACAATGTTATTGGCATTAGCTGTTTCAACATTTCAAGTCATTTAAAACAAAATTATGCATGATAAAATGTTTCAAACTGTAAAGTACTCAGTTACTTGAGGCTAACCTCTGTATTTTTAATTAGTTTTTATTCTTAAGTTTTTTTTTTTAAATAGGACCCTGTGAGATAATGAATGGAGGTTGTGAACATGTCTGTTTACCCTCTGATACCACCGTAAGCTGTAAATGTGATTTTGGATATAGACTGGATTCTGACCAAAAAAGTTGTTCTTCAGGTACGAAAATTGCCTATATTTGATAATTCTTTAATCTTATTTGCATTTATATCATGAATATAAACATTTTATTCTATAAATGTAAATTAAAATTGAAATTTGTCTTACAGATACCTTAAAGGATCGATTCATGATCATAGCCGATCACACACATGGAAGACTTTATCAGGCGTCCTTAACCGATGCAAAGATCACTGCTTTGGATTTTCCTGAGGTCACAAAGCCTGCATGTGTTCTTTATAACAGAAATACCAAACTCGTTTACTGGGTAGAAATAGAAAGCAGAGGAAGTCAGATAAAACAAGCAACTATTAAAGGAGAAAATACAACAGTCTTGATGGATTCAGGTCAGGAAAGTATAATCTTAATTTTGTAACATGACAAGAATAAGGGTCAAATTTCAAGATATACAGGCATACATGATAAAGCTCTCATTGAAAGATATGTTTTTTTTTAAAAGGCTAATAAATAGAAAAAATCTTAATCATTAGCATTCTCAAGATTCCTAAAAATTTATTTCGCAGGATATGTGTATCTTGATAGGATAGCAATGGACTTCACAACAGGACATATATACTTCACGGCTGTAGCAAGTGATATTTATCAGAGTTACGTAGGAGTACTCCATCCACAGAGAATGGTTCACCGAAAACTTATTTCTCAACTCGGAACCCCTCGGGCTATTGCAGTCCATCCATCATCAGGGTTAGACTTTTTCAAAGAATGCTAACATCATGGTTTTGATGTACTTTAGTTTTGTTCTTTAGTTTTTGTTTAGTCTTATTCATGATATTCATTTTAAAATGCAAATGATGTATCTCTTTAATTGTAAAAAGGAAAATATAATTATATGTTTCTTTGGACACATGCAGATATATGTTTTGGACAGACCACAATAAAAATAGTCCCCATATTGGACGTGCGTTCATGGATGGTTCTTCACAAAGAGTTTTGATTTCTAAAGATGTTGTGTGGCCAAATGGTCTTACCATAGACTACTCAGGTATGATGTATGAAAAAAAACACAATTTCACACACACCCCTCAAATAAACAAAATGGAGAAAATAGGTTGGTTCCAATTAAACGTTCACCATTGAAACAAGGAATTGAAAATGTATAAAGATTTAATTTTAGATGTTTCAAATTTCATTAATACTCGCAAAGAATGTACTTTCATGTACCAATTTTAATTCTAGTTGTAATTAGAAGTATCAAGATGTGCGTGTTATTTCTTTATTTTAGAGAATCTCCTGTACTGGGCAGATGGTCATACAGATACGATTGAATCAGTGGACATTCATGGTTTAAATAGAAAGGAAGTCTTAAAGGTTTCTAATCAGCAACTGATGGATGTAGAACTGTTTGGCTCCTACCTCTACTATACAGCATGGAACACACAGTAAGATGTTTTTTTTTTTTTTTTTTTTTTTTTTTTTATTGCCCCATCACATGTCCAAGTATATAATAGTGCCAGGGTTGGGGCCCTGGGTTCACTAAGTAACATACATAATACACATATATATTACACAATCATAATGTGACAGGACATTTTTTTCACATATCATTCACACACCTTTCGCTACATAACATGCATATGATTATATTTATAATAATATTTAACAACTGAAATCTTAATATAATCAGTGAAAAGTTGATGTACATCTGTAACTGCATTGTTTTTTCAAAAATATTAATCATATTAAAACATTATCAAATTCCATCGTTTTTTAAAACTGTCCATTTCCCCATTTTTCTTATAAATATATTTTTCACAATTAAAATAATACATAACCTCTTGTTTGACCCTCTCAAAAGATGGTACACATTTTTTGCATCTATTTCTATAAATATGCTTTTTTATTATACATACTACTAAATTAAATATATTGTTATATTTATAATGTTTTCCCAACAAAACATCAACTTTGTTTAGAGATATATCAACTCCAAACTGTTCTTTCATCCAATCCAGTACATTTTCCCAAATTTCTGCAACACACTCGCATTCCCAAAAAAGATGACAAAGTGTCTCTGGGTGTTTCTTACAAAAACTACATAAATCTGAGTCAGTAACACCAATTTTGTGTAAATATGTATTTGTAGCTAAAATTCTATGTACAATTCTATAGTGGAACCATCTTAACTGTATATCATTTGTTATGTTAAAAAACAGAATGTTTTGTTTTTTCCACCAAAATTCATCAACATTAAGTTCTAAAATGTTTTCCCATTTCATTTCACTTTTTGGTTTTTTGTATTTCTGACTAATAAAAACATCATAGAAATCTCTTGCACCTTGTTTGCTTTTTGTTATTGTTTGTAAGAATTTTGGGAAGAAAGGTTGATTTCTTTGAATTATATTATGATCATAATTCAACTGTAATTTTCTAATACAATTTGTTATGCCTAAAAACATTGTAAAAGGTGTTTTTAAATCATATTGTTTACAAAAGTCTTGGTATCCTAACAAAGTCCCATTTGTATCATAAAAATCAAAAACAAATTGTATACCTTGTCTCAGCCATGACTTATAACAAACACTTCTGTTGTTTATACATATTGATGGATTATACCATATGGGACTTAAAATAGATGTTTGATCATCAATACATAATCTCAAATCCAACAATGCTGAAAAAACATCATTCCAGAAAACATTTTCCGTATCTTTCTTAAGTTTTTTTGAAAAATCCCTACCATAGATAATAAATATTTAATGTCAGGAATTAAATCTTTTAGCAATTCTTTCCAGGCTGATTTACATGAACTATCAAACAATCTGCGAATCCATGTAATTTTTAAACTTTTACAAAATGAATCAAGACATGTCATTCTCATACCACCGTTTTCATAACTTTGGCATATAATATTTTTAGCCACCCTAGCCGTTTTGGTATTCCAGATATAATGAAAAAATATAGCTTCAATTTCTTTGAGTTTTTCTTTAGAAGGGCTCGGTAAACTAATTAATAGGTGACTAAATTTAGGTAAAAGCAAGTTTTTTACTACTGTTATACGACCTGCCGTTGATAAATGTCTTCTAGACCAATCTTTGCTTTGTGATCCCTCCTTTCTCGGGTCAAATTTGCAGATAATTGTATTGCCATATCCCTTATTTTCATTAATAGAACATCAAGAAAAAGATTATCTGGTATTCCTAACATTGATTCATCAATACGATATTCATTATCCGTTTCCCTTATAATTTTTTTAACATTTGTCACAAATTCTTTGTTTCTCAATAAGGAATTGTTAAAACGCCAGAATCCCTTTCCACGTTTAAATTCATTAATAGTAATATCTAATTCTATGATAGAGTGATCAGTCCTATAGCCTGGCATCATGTGAACATCATTTATAATTGATAAGAGTTCCTCTGATACTAAAAAAAAGTCAAGTCTAGCCTGTTTTACTAGGTTCTTCCTACTCCATGTATATTTTTTAGCATCTGGGTTTTTGATTCTTACTAAATTGAATTTTGATTTTAATTTTTCAATTTCAAGTTTATTTTTGGGATTGTTTTCTCTAACATAATTGTAACAGTCTAACTGGTAATCTTGTACTACATTCCAGTCTCCACACATAATTATAAAGTCAGTATCAAAAAAATCATCCATTTTATCACTTATTTCTGCATAAAATTTAGGATTATCTTTATTGTGACCATATAAATTAACCAAAGTGATTGAGTACTTGTTATCCACCATTATATTTGATATAATGAAATTCCCCTCATTATCACTATAAACTTTTGAAATTTTTATTTCATTTGTGTTATTAAAAAGGGTTAAAGTCCCTCTTGCATCTGATTTTCCTGAGCTGATGAGTATGTCATTACCCCATTGGGCATAAACTGAATTTTTCTCTAATTCTGTACAGTGGGTGTCTTGTAAACAATAAATAGATGATTTAAAATTTCTTAAATAGTTTAGGACATCCTTTCTTTTCATAGAATCATGTAAACCTCTGCAGTTTACAGAAGTAATTTTTAACTTAGTCATAGATTACACTACACAGTTGAATAAAGGCAAAAAAATATGCATGTTGCATACTCTCCATTCTTTCACACATATATCAAAAATGAAAAATACTTCCTGTATGGTAACAAAACAAATCAAGAAAATTCATGTATTACATCGCATTGGGTCTTTTTAATTTAACTTAGCCACCTAAATAAGATAGTGAACCGTAGTTCTCTCATAGAAAAAAAATAATAAATACAAGCTCCTCTAAGAACTTCTACCAGTAATCTTTGTAATCTTTGTTGAAATTTAGGTATTTATTACATTAAAAAGAAAAAACCAATATGTCCCCATGTAATTTATACAGCAAACCATAAGCTGCCAAACAAATATATATCCTGAGACATACTACATGTAGATATGTTACAAGTTATCAACTATGACATAACACAGTAGTTCACAGATAACGATACCAAAAATTCTCAATATTTTACAAGTTATTAACAACTAAGGCATAACTCTGAATTTTACAGATATCATCCAAAGCTCAAAACACTGGTATTTTACTTTTAAACATCTGCCGCATACCTTAGTATATCTTTCTAATAGCATCTAAAACATACTTATTATGTGACAAGTAAACAACACGATACCAACTGTAGCATAACTCATCACTTTACAGATATACAAAACCTTCACCATATCATACTCCTACAACCTGTCATCTCCTGCAAATAATCTTGTTCTTATCTAGATCAATTAGAAGGAATCACTAAAAGCGAGCCATTCTTTTTCTCCTTTTTGTCGATACTCCAGAATCACATCGTCTTTCGTTTCACGGATTCTCGTCTTCATTCCTGATTTCCTGAGTTCATATGCTTTTTGAGCCAGCTCTGCCCTCTTTCTCTTCAAATGCACGGGTAGATCTGTTCGTATTGCATAGCCTTTCGGTAGGGTAGTGTTTCTGGCATGATTTAGTATCATATTACGGTCCTCCATAAGAACGAATTTAACAATGACTGCTTCTGGTGCTTCAGGTTTGTAACTGCTGTTGGGGTTTTTTGGAACCCTATGAGAGTTTTTAATCATTATAGACTCTGCTGTTGACATGCCCAGTTTTTCACTCAAAAATTTCACAATAACCTCGTTTGAAACTTCATTCTCTGCTTTAGGAATGCCATAAAATAAGAGGTAAGATGTAACAGTAAGATGTTAAATGGAAAAATTTCTGCGTGCTTTTACAAGCTTTAAATATTCGCTTTTCGGTATTTTCTCTGCAATTCTTAAAGAGAAAAGTAAAAGATTTTCAGGAAAGAGGAATATCAATGGTCACATTGATATGGTACAAACGTACAAGCTCATGAATAGAGACAGGGCTTAACTTATCTTCAAGGTCTTAGGTCGATGTAGGATTTTAAAATAGTTTCACACAAAATTACTATGAAAAAGTTTTTATTTCAAGTAAATACAGTAGTTTCATTTTATATTTGCCATGATTTTGCCAAATTTCTTTTATTTTGACTCAGTCACAAACTGTACATGTGCTCTTAAAATACACATTTGAACAATTAGATATGTGCTCATTACAGCTTCAATATATTTTAAGTAAAACGTATTTCTATCTAACCAGCTACCGTCAATGAGGCCAGTATTTTGCCTAAACAACAACAGAGTAGTATTTTATGATTCCATAAAAAAGTATTTAAAATAACGATGAAATCCATATAATTTTATTATGTGATCTTTTTAAATTGATACATGCCATCGACAAAGGTAAAAGTATAGAATGCGATACTTTCGTTTCAGAGATGTCTAATGATTGACTTGTCTGTAAAGACATAATTAATGCCTGCATTAAATTAGAATTTTTTTTTTTATTTTTTCAGAAAAGTTTCTAAGGTGTTATTGAACAGTGATAGAACAGGGACTCTCGTAGACTGGATGCCCGATGTTCCTGAATTAGGAAGATTAGATTCTATTGAAATACAGCCCGGAAATTATCAACCAAGTAATTGACAATCATTGCTTCTAACATATAGTAAAAATATTTACAATGTTGAACGAGAAATCAAAGTTTTTGGTACGGGACAATTGTAAATAATAATGATAAATGGAAAGTCTCAAAGCATTGAACATCCGTATACAAGCTAAAATAATAGCTTATTTTGAAATCAACTTGCCATATAAGCAAGAAAATAAAATACTACCAATTTGTAGTTTTTAAAATGACTCACTCCAATCGCAGAAGGGAAAAGCCCATTCTATCTTGGAAACAATTGATTTTAAATAATGTTAAAATGTTATATTACAGAAAGTTCAGCATGTTTACAAGACAATGGTGGTTGTAGCACTTTTTGTCTACCGACACCAGAGGGACGCACCTGCGCTTGCGAGGAAGGTGTAGATTTACTGGCTAATGGTCAAACGTGCGAAATAAGCGGAGGCAAGTCGTGCATTTTAATTAATATAATCATTACAACTGTGGAAAAAAATCAATTTTTTTTATGTTTTTAATTTCAGTTTTAAAGTATTACAGATAGACAAAAAAAGGTTTGAATTTAATAATTCTTTGAATAGGTTCCCCTTGTCCCAGTACTTTGCCAAATGGGGCCTGGTCCACCAACTGCTATAAATTGCCGACAGAAAACTGTACTTACAGCTGTGATGAAAATTATCTCCCGAATGAAGCCTTTCCTTCTGTTACTTGTGGCAGAGATGGCCAGTGGTCAGTCCCTACTGAATCCCTTTGTAAAGGTAAAGTAATATGTTCAAATTATAATGCTGAATCAATATTAAAGGTAAATAAACATATACAAATAATTGCATAAGTATCTTAAAGATTCTGAAATGATAATTTAAATATTGTAAAATGTCCATTAAATCTGAAGAAATTTATGACGTACATTAACATTACACATGTCAATAAGAGAGTTTTTTAAAAATCTAAAATATTATTTGAAATCCTTCTCTAGAGAGTTTTTTTTAATCTAAAATATTATTTGAAAACCTTCTCTATAACGTATTTTTTTAAAATCATATTTTAAGAATTTTTTCTCCTTTTTATAAAAACCGACTGTCTTTGCAGCAAAAACATGTATTATCTATGACCCAGTCCATCACTTGCTGAATGGCTGTTTACCGGTGGTTGGGAATGAATGTGAATATGCTTGCAATGAAGGGTACCATAAAAATCCAAATATAAATAAGATTAAGTGCTTACCATCGCAGAAATGGAATGTCAATACTTTAGAAGCTTGTCGTCAATTTCAAGGAGAGGTCAAAGGTCAGTCCACATTGTCTGAGAGAAAAATAGATGGCTCGTTATTACGAAAGGTGGAAATATCCTCATGAGAGTACATTTAATATATTTTTAATTTTCATTTGTGGCTGCATGTTTTTATGATTTTATTTAGTTAAATGTGCATTGTAATATATATGTTGAGCCTTTTATATGAGTGATTTTTATAAGCTTTATAACTGTTTCATTTCTCCTCATTGAGACATTTTTTTGGTTTATAGTTGATTCTTTGGAAACGACGTCAATTCCTGTTAAGTGTCGAGCAGATGATCTTCCTAACGTTAAACTTGGTCCAGACTGCAGTAAATTGCCCGACGAGACATGCTCGTTCTCTTGCGTGAATGGTTACTTTAAAAAAGATGTAGATATTACAGAACTTGTATGCCTAGCAAATGGAAAATGGGATTTAGATCACATGCCATTATGTATTGGTAATCATTATCCTGTTTTACATTTTTGGGGGGCGTGAGATGATGAGGGATTGCTGTTGATAGAGAAAGTATTTAGACTTTGAGGCTTGTTCATATAACTTTTTTTTCATTCAACATCAGTCAATCTTGATTGATGAAATTGTACATGTATATTGTTTTTTTTTCTAGAAGACGTTTGAAAATAAATTGTATAACCTCTGTACATTTCATACTAACAAGTGTTTCATTTCATTCAATTCCATTCACACATTGTAAAATTCTCATTTTATTTCATTTATACAGGGACTTTCTATCTTTGACATTCGCGGTAATGAGAATTGTAACCAGTATGACAATAGTTTAAAATAGATAAATTTGGTTTAACTTTTATATTACAATTTTCTTTCTAGATATCAATTTCGGGGGTATCAGTGACGATTTATACTTGAGTTGCCTAAAAATAGCATAATTGGACTTATGAAATTGGTTTTAACTGTACTTTTCTTTTACAGCTGGTACTGGGATTAAAAGTTCCAAAATGTCTCAAGAAGAAAATAAATCAGACAAATCTTATACTGCAATAGCTGCTGCATTGGCTGCCGTTATAGGAGCAGTTCTCATCGCCGTTCTCGTCATAATGTTCTTCTACTGTAAACGAAAGTATGAACAATTATTTTCTTAAAGATGAGAAATCAAGAGATTTTTAGGAATTAAACATGCTACAGAGATACAAGATACATTTTTAGATAATATTTTTTGCTGATCATTGAATATCCAATCATGCAATTAACAAAACACTAAAATTCGATTTATTTCAAGTAAGATGAAATTTTTGTATGTGTATTGAATTTGCTGGAAAATTTTTTTTTTTTTCAATTATATCTTCAGTTTATTGGTTTGTATCTTTGATTTTTTTTTGGTAGAAGGAGAACGGTGGTTGGACGGTACGAATCTCATCAAAATGAATCTAACGTTTATTGTGAACCTCATAAAGGAATCGTTAACTTAGCAGCGGACAATGGGAATAAAACAGAAAATAATCATTATGCTCAAATGAGTGACATATGAAATTAATTCGCAATGTAATTATACCATAGTACATGTAGTATATGTTTCCTACCGATGTTTTTATTAATCAAGCATCTGTATCGTTATTTTCATACCAGATGAAAGAATGAAGAAAGTCGAGTCTTTTTATGTCATTGCTTATCAAAAGATAACCATAGATATAGTGTAAATGTATTATATTTGGCATGTACGATATTTGGCGGAAACTGACTTTTGAACAAGTTAGTGTAGATTTGATTAATAAATATAATACGTGTACAGTAATCATTCCATAGTAATCCATACATGTATTAGTTTTAATATGCTTGTCCTCAGTATTGAGCTTGCATGTGTTAAAAAAACTGTTTTAGTGATTTATTTTTTTTTCTTAAAAAAGAAATAAAGATGAATTTGTGTTTATTGCTTTTATGTCTTTATTTAAATCTTAGACTATTTATTTTTTAGTCACATTTGATTAGTGTGGATGATAGCATAAGAATAAAATGTGATTTGCCTTTTTCTTTTATTCCTGTTGCGGTAATTGTTCAAGGTCATATGATACGCAATAAAAATAAATGCGAATTAAATTGAATAACTATCGGGATTAATATAATTCTATTGTAAAATGCACTGAAAATAAATTTAAAAGTAAGAGTGTGACATTTAACTCCGGACACGGTATTGTCCAGACCTGGTAATTTAGTACCATTTCTAATTGTGATGTTCAAAAATATATTATGGCAATTGATGGGAATTTTAGCGGTAGTACATGATTTGAAGTTAACATAAAAAATATCTTCTTTTTTTTTTAGGTATATGAGGTCCAAAACGTCAGAATCCAATGGGAGAATTGCAGTCTTAGCAATTTTCCCAGCTTTCACCTATTGGAGAAAAAGTTTCCGATGGGATATTTTCTCCGATTGAATTTTTCCTCACAAATGTTAAAAAGGGATAAATCCCACGGATATTGACAATGAATCATTTTTTTCTCCTATACGTTGTTCAACTTGGGATACACCGGTATCCCATAAATAATGATAATGGTATCCCATTCATCATGAGATGACATGACCACAATGGTAGTAAAAAGTATGGACAATGTCGTATCCGGAGTTAAATGTCGCACTGTTAAATTCTTGGTTTTACATCTCAAATAATTTGTATACCAAAAGGAGATTGAGGTATATGTACTGGGTCTTTTTTTTAATTTAAAAAGGCAAAATAATGACAAAAATGTTTTAAGTGAATCTTATTTGCTCCTTTCGTATTTTTCTCCTCTTCATAATGCTTTGGTTCTTCACCAATTACATGAGATCAACATATACAATTATACAATGACAGTTTATGATTTATTTAATGTACATGTATTGTCTAATTATAAATTAGACACTGTGATAACAATAGGCCTCGAGATCAGGACACAAATTAATTTTTTTATATATAAAACTTTGTAGTCAAGCAAACCAACATTAAATAATTTTTCACCACTGCTCTTCAAAAATATTGCTGTTCAAAGATAGATATTTATTAATATTAAGCAATTACATATTACTTAATGCATTTTTATTGTTTTTATCATTATTTTGCATCCTGTGTCATGAATATTTTATAGGTAACAAAAAAAATCTTTGTGAGAGTTATCTTTCGTTGTAATTAAGTTGATTCTCAATTAAAAACTGGATATGCTTTAAATGAAAAAATAGAGGTACTGTGAGTAATGAGCTCACTAAATGATGTGTCAAAATATGTGTCAGATCTGTGAGTAAAATAGGAGGTCCACAATGACAATATGTAATAAAGATTCTGCAAAAGTTTCATCAAATTTTATTCAATGGTATGAGAGGAGTTGCGTATATGAGATGGGTACCCCAACGCGTAACAGACAGACGGATGGACGGACGGACACACCGATTACTATATACCCTCCCGTTTTTCAAGCGGGGGTATAATAAACAGACGCGAGGAAAGCAGAGCTAAAATATTGGAGATCAGAGAAGAAGGAAGGATATTGTGTTATGGACTAAACAGTCTTTCCACATAAAATTCTTTTTACGGACGTAGATTTGGCTATGAATAATAATAAAGTTTTTTTTCTCATAGTTGCTCATCTTTCATCTTCAAATAAAGTTACGTCATTCAAAGATCAGTTTGTGTGTACAACTATGAGTGTAAAGAGTCTATTTTACATCACATATATATATATATATATATATATATATATATATATATATATATATATATATATATATATATATATATATATATATATATATATATATATATATATATATATATATATGTATATTATTTTTCACAAATTACAATTAAAATATTTCAAAACATTACCCTCATGGATTTTACCTGAGTAAAACATTTATATTTTTCAGCTTCTTCTCAAATGAACCAATTTCAACCAAAAAAGCATCTATGGGTGAAGAAACAAAAATTGTGAATTTCATGGTCCCCACCCCCCTGGGGCCTGAGGGGTGGGGCACTAAAATTATTGCAATCTTTAAAAATCTTCTTCTTTAGTCAAGGGCAAATTGCATGAATGTAATGAGCATTGTCCTCTACCAAAATTGGAAATTGTCCTCTAGGGTGGGGCTATATTTATATTGAAAATACACATTTTTTGAAAATCTTCTTTTGCTTCTGGGTATTAAATAAACTAACTGAGCACATAGTTATGATGAGCAAGGTTCCAGATTTGTGAATTTGATGGCCCCCAAATATGGATTATATATTTTTTTGAAAATCTTCTTCTCTGCTTCTGGGTATTAAATAAATAACTAAACATAGTTATGATCAAAACAGATTTGTTAATTTGATCAGGGTTAGGGGTTTGGTGTTAGGGCGGGGCTCTATTGATTATATTAAAAATACATTAATTCTTTGAAAATATTTTCCTTTGCTTCTGGGTTTTATCCCAATGAATCAATATATATACAATATATATATATATATATATATATATATATATATATATATATATATATATATATATATATATATATATATATATATATATATATATTTATGATGAAGAAAGGTGCATCTAGCAAAGTGTTTTTTTATGCCCCCAGGGTCAGAGGGGAGGGGGGGTTACATAAAAAAAGGAATAAATGCTTTGAAATCTGCTCTTTGGTATTAATCAACCATTTCATGATAAAATTTGCAAAATTTTGAAATATGTGCACAACTGGGTATAAAGTGGAAGTGCATTTTCTTTGTTACTCTGATCTATATAAGCATGCTAAGTTAATAATTATGATAAGCAATGGTGCCTCTTTCAAAATGTGAATTATGAATTTCATGGCCTCTGGTTTAAAACAGGAACCATGTAATTTAATTGTTTGAAAGTTGTTACACAATACTCAGGTGACCTATAAGGCCCGTGGGCCTCTTGTTTATACACATTTTTAGTTTTTCATGGATTCTAATAGAGCAAGGTTAGAATTTACCAAATATGGATTTTTTTTTAATAAATATAATAAACGTTCAAAACATCTTTGAATCAGATTTTCACATTTCCAGCTTAAGAATCAAGGCCAACAACACATACATGAAAATATTTTAATGTGTATTATTATATTTTACTAATATATATATATATATATATATATATATATATATATATATATATATATATATATATATATATATAAATAATGAAATGAATGTATTAGATAAGATTTATAATAATCTTAAATAATCTTGCATAAAATGAAAAAAATTAACCTCATTTTTTAAAAAGAAATGTTTTCTTTTATTTATGATCTATATTTGTTTTTTAAAAAATTAATTTATATCTAATTAACCTTAAAATTTAAAAGTACATAATGTAGAGAAAAATATTTCTCCAAGACTTGTAGATGCCATTGATAGCGATACATGTATAATGCTTATTGCTTTTATTTATCAATGCATTGGAACTGAAGTATAACATATATGTTTGCATGATGACAAGGGTAAAGATTATAATAGTAAGATATTTTATCTGGTCTCATATCTTCTAGAAAAGATGTACTTTTAGGTACAGGTGTAAAATGTACAAAGTCATTGGAAGAGGTCACACTTTTCGTCATGAAAGTTCATACCTAATGCATAGCTAATACTTAATAACTGCAGACAAGTCATTAGTTTGGTATATATAGAACATATTAATTCATACCCCTGCTTCTAAATATAATGGTTGAATGAATAAAATATTTCATCTAAAATGTCACTCCAAGTCTAATAAAATGACACAGATATATAACCTGTGAAACTGATCATATAAATCAGTTTCTCTTGCGATTCAAAATTTGTAACTGTCAATACTTATTAATTAAAACAATTTAAACAATTCATAAAAATTAAAAACAAATACTATACCTAATAACTAAAAACCTTTTGGGATAATTGATGTATGAATGCAGGAACCAGGTAAAAAATATTAACTTTATTAAATAAATTTTGCAGGAATTCGTTAGTCTAAGTAAATTATTAAAGTTCATGCTATTAGATTTCACCAATGTTATAAAAACTTTTTTACAATGACTTATTAATCGGCGACGAGTTTAAAAATTGAAAAACAAAATCATTATAATTATAACATGAGTTTTGAAAAACAAAATCATTATAATTATAACATGATTTCTTACAAATCTTTAGACAAAGATATTTTTAGTCGTATGCCACATGACGTGTCATATTCAACCTTTGACATAGACCCTTATAAAAATGGCTGACAAGTGAAAATGAGCAAGTTGACGCATATGTAGGACATATCGATATTAAGGTGCATAAAGGGGAAAAGTGTATTGATTTTTATTTTACATGACATATGTTATAATATAAGCTACAACAAATTATGCCCCATTATTGATATTTTTGATGCATTTTTATTATTATTTTTCATATTTATCGTAGATTTTCAGGATATAAAAACAGTGAGTATTACAATTAAATTTGTTTATTATAACGCAGAAAGTTTTTATAGTAATGGAGGAGGGATAGTAACGGAGTAAGGGCACTAGGTGATGTAAATGTATATGGGAAAACATTTTCAAATGTAAATATAAAATTATGACAAACTATGAACCACAATTTTTGTAGACAAATTTGTGGAACAATGACAGTATGGTTCCCTGACTTTGATATAACACATCTAAAAAGATCTCGCACAGTCTTAACTCTAACTGACTTCTGTCTAAGCAGGCCTTAAGTTTTATTCATGTGTTCCTGTGTTTAGGCAATAACACATTTTGAAGGCTTTATGTATGACCCAAAACTAAGAAAAAGCAACTGTATATAAAGTGTTGATGCATGAATGTAAACATCATATTCGTATGAGATCGTCTAAAAGATGAACCTCTTACATACTAACATATGAGAAAATGGTCCTTTTCTTTCATTTTAATCATGTACCTTAATTGTTTTCCTTATTAATTTTGTTAAGCTTCTAAAACCTAAAAATAAAAAATCTAAGTCGTAGTATTTGTGAATGCATTGTTAAAATAGCATTTCTTGCTGTCGCTTAGTTTTGCTGCAAGCTAAGTATCTGAGGTGAAGCAAACTGGTTGGAGATTGATTCGTCATGCAGATTCATCTAGCCACAAGCAAAGAGCAAAAGTTCATATTCAAGTGCACGATTGCCAGAATTAAGTGAAGTAAAGGTAACGTTTTCTAACATTTGTAGCAATTTCATAACTACAATTGTCAATTCTTTAATTGTTCTATTATTTCTATGAAAGAAATATGTGGAGATGAACAGAATTCGAGCTCAAAAGTTCATTAAATATCACAAAATAGGAGAGGAGTAAACACGGACGTCAAAAACATCAGAGTTGGGATCAGGTGCCATGGAGGAGTGAACAAAATATAAAAAGGAAAACAGCAATATCTTAAATTTATATTTGTAAAAACGAAAACTTTACAATTTTCATTTTCAACTAATAATTAAATTTGAAATATAAATTAAGAACACTTATGTAGTTTATTTTCTGGACATTATGATTAGTTTTGTGCGTACAACCCCCTTCATTTCGTCCAGCATTTAAAAAACGTGCAAGAAAGTCATATATTTATTAAGCTAGATTAAAGATGAAAGAAAAAATATCTTCAGCTTCCCTTTCTTGTCAGTAGCGTTCATAATTGCCACGACTCCACCATCATACATATACCTCTAGGTTGCTTTTCTTTTTGAGGTTTACTTAAATGATAATTAACCCTAGGATAAGTAATTATTTACGTTCACTCAGGCGAAGTTGGACCAGCTGGCCTTCACTATTTAATCCAGCAATTTTTGTAAGACATGCTTTTTTCATAACACCTTGGCCATGGGCATCCAGTGTTTAATTTGTTGTCTCTTGCTGGTGCTTCCCAGTATCTACGGATTTTGTTTTTCTACGTTTGGAAGGGTCGATATAACAGGTTTAGTATCTTCTTATTGAACAACACTTAATTTTTTTTTTATTAAATATTCATTTGATTTTGGTGTTTTGTTAACTTTAATTTGTATTTTATATTCCTTCAATTTCAGAATCTCAATCAAAATTGTTTATAACTTACAAGTATTTTTATAACTGTTATAAATATATCAAAAAATGATAAATCGTGTTCTTTCTTTTTAACACAAATACTCTGAGAGATTATTATTTTTATAACAATATCAATGTTCTTATTAAAACGACAAAATTTCTCAAAGTGAAATTTATCATGCTGGTTTCAACGAAATAATTTTTAAAAAAAATGTTTTGTTCCAATTCATTGTGTTCCCTCAAAATGAAATTTTGAATCTGTACCTGCAAGGGTAGTACTGTTATTATCTTGGTAATTACACGTTAAAAATGCTGGCGATGGATTTCTGTAAAAATAACCATGAATAAAATTTGCAATTTGAAAAGAAATTACTCCAAAATACATTTTAAAGCGAAAGTTTTAAGATGAAACATATGGAGATAACGAAAATCAAAAGTTTATAGAACAATACAAAATAGGAGCAGAGCAACACTGACGAAGATATAACTTCTTATGTTTTCATAATAGACAATAAATTAATTTGTAAGAGAATATAAAAAAAACAATAACCGTGTTGTTTATTTTCAGCAACTGGGCGGAGGGTTCCAGTATGTGAATTTAATGGTATTGACTTTCTAGATGGCTCAAAGTTCACGACAACGGGCTGCAACGAGTGCGAATGCAAAAAGGGTCATTTACATTGTTGTGGGTAGGTCCGACATTCCGCTCAGAAAACAGTTATTAAACTTTGCATGTTTGTTTTGATAGATAGAAACCATTGGGTTTTTTTTTCATTTGGGTAAACTTTTTATTTCAGCATTGGTACAAATGCTGGTGTAATACAACCACCTCCAAACTGCAAAATTTTGAAGGACGGTTGTATAGCGAGAGAGGTTCGGATATCTGACGAAACACTTGACTGTGTTACCGGAAAACCTTATCGAAACGATACTGGGGAAGTATCATTTCCTACAGGCGCCACGCCTTTACAAGCAGGTTCTCCCACAACAACTGACCCGATAGGAGGTGTAGCTGTGGGTCATATCCCACATCCAAGCCTCTCCAAATCCACTGTCAATTCTATTCCTAATGATGTGGCAACCTTAGAGAATATTTTCAATACTATTGCTAACAATGCCCAAAATGGAAAACGTACTTCTTTTGATGACCTGCTTCGAGACATATCGTCCAGAAAATCTCTGATGCAATCCAATGTTGTTTATCCCAAGTTTCCAAAATATCCACGGGTTCCATCTACTCAGTACTCAAATTCTTTCCAATTGTTTGATCCATACACCACTAACGACGCCATGTCAAACTGGTTAATGTACAATGGAATCATGGATGGTGGATTCTAGATGACATTGATAACACAGAAACATTTGAAGTAGGCGAGATCGGTTTCTTGTTATCATTTTATAATCATTACTTCAACTGTACAGAAACATACAGGTAGTTGTAGCTCAGCTGGACTGAATATTCTGAGACACTGACCAATGAAAACATTTCAACTAGATTGATGTATAGGATTCTGATGACTTGTTACATAGTTAAATTACGTGCTTACAAGTTTGAAATAAAAGTTTACCTCGAGAAAAATATATTGTTGAATGGTAAGCCTGAAATAAAAGTGTTTCCATATGAAAAAAAACTTACTTTATCGAAAGATCGTTTAAGATGTATTTGCATAGAAAAATTGAATCTTAATTTATTTGTTTTATATAACGTTTCTATGAATATTATCATTAAAGAGGTTTATATAATTTTATGATTTTAGTAAACATTCATGATTTTCTAATTCTTTATGTTGGTTCTTCTTTTTCAAATTTAGCTGATTTCATCTTAAGAAAGTTGTTGCACTTGTCTTCAAGCCAAGTCACTTTTACAGTCCCTTCTGTTGTTTTCTATGGTGCTGTTCTGTTGCAACTCTTCTGATATAATCTGGGTGAATGAATTCTCCTAGATTTTTCCTTACCCAATTGGATAAATATATATATTAACTTTCAATTTCATAGGATGACATACTATTTGATCATGCGAGTCTTGGAAAAATATCATTGTTTTATTCAGCCTAGGTTTTGCCCTTAATTTCTAAAAGAAACAGTATGTCTGTCTTCTGTATATTTATCTGTAATTATGTTGATAAAAATCAAATAACGATCCGTAGTCATGCTCTGTCCAATGAATCATAAAAATATTGAAATCAAAGCAAATATCCCTGAATATATCTTATCTCGGATTGGATGGCAAGGAGGAATATAAAATATAAAACAGATGAGTCAGACTCCACAGGACATTTCGTATCGACATAAGAATGGAAATCACCATTGCTAATTGACAATACATGTACGTCGTCGATATATCTAAATGTCGAGTTGATGGCCAAAGCAAGTGTTTTATTCTTTTCAAGCATAAGATGTTGCAAAAATTCTGATTTATATTGATACAAAAATATATTTAGGTCTGCTGATAACAGGGCGCAATTGGTACCCATGAAAATTACAGTCGATTGTTGGAAGACCTGGTCTCCAAAACAACATAGATATTGTCAATGACAAACTCAAGCATCTTTTGATGTCAAATTCAGAGTTGTTGTGTGTACAATCAGAATGTTTTTAACAAAATAATTTTGCAAATGACCGTTGACAAGGTAATTAAATTTACGAGTTCCATTTTTATTGAAAAAGCAGCTGTTAATATCAAAAAGCCTGGACTTTAATCTATCGTGGGGAATGGTTGTTTATAAAGTTGAAAAGTCGTAAGTTTTTAAGCAGTTGATTTTCAAAAAATCTTGTGATTTCAATTTGTCGAAAAAAATCCTTGAATTTTTTAAGTATCCACATCTGATTAAAACCACCTTTTGAGTATATTGTTGCACAGTACTCTTGACGTTTCTCCTTCACTTCTGTTAATATTTAAGTAAAGAAAGAGGCTTGATTGAATATTTACTGAAACCCGCAATGTATCTTTGTTTGTAAGGATTCTTATGAAGTTTCCGAATCCAAAATTTATATGGTAGTTCAAATTTATTTTGGTATTTAGAATATTGAAAACATTCAAAACTGACATATTATTTTGAAGAATTTCTTTCTTAGAAACTTAGGGAACCATGAGTATACGTTGAATTATTACTTGTAGAATTAAAACCAAGTTCTTCTAAAATACAATTTATGTAATGAGCCTTACAAACGAAGACAATGTTGTTATCTGCTTTGTCAGCAGGGACCAGTATGTACTGATCATGTAATCTATCTACTTCTTGTAAAATTTTGCTAAATTTATTGTTTGTATGGATTTTTATGACATTCTAGACCCCCTATGAATATGGTTATTCGAATTAAGTTTAGTTGTCTAGAACTTTGAAAATATATAATATAAACATATAATTTTAAAACGTTATTCTCAAAGTTGGATTACTAGGTGTGGAAGGAAATACTTTTAAAATGCCATTTGTATATGTAATATAGATCCAAGCAAAATTAAATAAACTGATGCGTTATGCTTTGTTATCGTCCATTTGGAGAACAAATACAGATCATTTTCAACATATCTTTTTATCCTCTCAGACAACCGTGACGTGTTATTGCTTTCTTTGTTCTTCTCTATTGGCAGTATTAAGCTTAGGAAGAATTCAAAATACTTCTGAACTTCACATCACCCGTAAAGATGTGTCCTGAGAGACTACAGCTGAAATAAAATGAAAATGTCATGAAGGAGGATTTTGCTTCAGATGGTCGTATAGCTAGTAAAGATACCTTCTCATTTTTTGTTGGTATTTTGTCTTTTTTGAAGTATTAGTAAAAGATTATTAAACTTTTAATGAAAATTAAACACGTGAACCAAATAAAATTTAGTGGAAATGGGTGTTATTAATTTTTCTTTCCAAATAAACAATATATTGATTTAAGTTGAAATTTTATATCCTTTATAATTAATTTTGAATATGCTAATCGAACATAAAGAATGGATTACATAGGGAATATTAGATTATTTAACAAATATTGATAAAAACAGAGGTTCTTTTTTGTAAGTAGAAAGCTGATATTCCATAAATGTGCAGCCTTACTCATTAATGTAGACACTTTTAATCACATCGGACAAGAACGGGTGTACTTGTAGTCTAATGAGGGTAATTTATTTTTAAAAAATCTTGTTTTTATGACAACATTTATAAATGTTAACACTTGCAAAAAGTAATCTATAAATCAAATGATGAAACAATAAATACAAAAAACGTTTTAAAAAATTATGCCTCAATCTCAATCTCAAGGTTTTTCTTAATATGATTTTCAGTTAAAGAATTCTTTATAATAATTTTTTTATGTAATTATATAATGTTCATTTTTTTTTTACTTAATTACATTCTTAAAAGTAGGTATTAAGCGGTCCATAAAAGGATTTATTTTTTACCTTAAAATGCAACAGCAAAAATTTACGAAAAACTATCGATTTTTGACGGTCAGACATCCATTTAATTTTAAAACATGTTTTTGTTTATTTACGACAAAATCATACATATTTTCATTTGAAGTGCAATTATTAGACATATAGATTATCATCTATAAAGTACAAAATCTACTACATAAGAACATAAAAATAGTCACATTATAACCTACTATTACGTAACACTGGGAATTAATGTGTAGTTGCCAGTCGTGCATTGTGTCGTCGATCACGACAATTGCTGTCAATCTACATGTAACAGACAACTTTTACAACCTCTGTAATTGTTTTAATGTATTGAACGAACATTACAGCACTTTGTAACCTTATTCAATCAGATGTTGGAGAATATATAAAATATCTATTGAAAAAAGTATTAACGGACTAAAAAAATCAAAAGAATTGAAGATGTATAACAAAAATGTTATGTTAAGAATCGTGCATGTTGTGTTTGAGAAGCTGATGAGGGGAGTGCCATATTTTGCCAGAAGGGACATCCTAAGGTGCGTCCATTGTATACCGACCGATGTATGAGGATTCTTCATTCCAGCAAGATGAGTCAAACAGTAAAGTTCGGATGGATTTGGATTTTAGGTTTTCTGTTTGCAATAGTTGTCTATGTTCAGTGTTCTTGCACTGTAACACCCGCCAAAATTGAGAAAACATGTGAGTATTATATGATTATCTTAAATTAATGCATTATAAGCGCCTTAGGCATAAGCTATCATTTTGATGGCATCAAAATATTTCTCTAGAAATAAACTTCTTTGTGTTAACATTTGGTTTTGTTAACTTCGTGTTCCGCTCAAATTTATTATTTGCAGCGTAATTTTTTACAAATGTTAAAAACAATGATATATTTCTCATACTGGTTTCAAATTACTTTCAGTATTGAATGTTTTATTTTTGAAATGCAGATACTGGTCGTGTAAGACACTACTGTGTACACAATGTCACCAATGGAAATTCCACCGTCCAGATTGACCTCTTGCTGGATTCAAAATTTGAAACACGTGATTGTCAAAGATGCACATGCACTCGCATGGGATTAAGTTGTTGTGGGTAAGGTATTCAAATATTCAATTAAAGTTGATTTTAATCAACTCTATAGTATTATTTGGGTCATAACTGATCTCAGAATACGGTAATGAATTGGTGTACGTATAATTTTGGCAGATCTACTTATTAATAATATACATAAGTATCCTTTTACCACCAGCCACGCCGGAGCCCATTCTATCAAATGTAGTACTAACAAACATAAATAATAAATGTAAATAATTTATTTCCGTTAGCAAAATACATCTAAAATATGCAGGACTATTGCAAAGCCTTTTACGGTGTTAGAGTTTTTTTTCCAAATAAATGGAATACTACAGTATCCATCCTATGTTCTTAGAATTAAGAATATGTATGAAATCAATTCGAAAGACAAACGATGACTTACTTAATTTACATAAAATAGTGTCAAAAAATTTCTTTGTTCCTATATTTTTTTAAAAATATCTTTTAAATGAAACCTCTTGAATTAATTTTTAAAATGATTTCTGCTTGTAGTTTGCGTAATCAGAAGTTTCGATTCCCGTTTCCTGCGCCGCATCAGAACAGAAATATAAAATGTTTTTCGCTAAGCGCAACATTAGACGTGAAAGTCACGGGTCATTAAGAGCTTAAAAAAAATCAATGCCACGTTTATTGTAGGTTAGTAAAATAAAGATCCCTGGAGTGCTGAACATACATCTAAATCTAAATTTGATTCCCGTCACTGGTACATGGCGACGTCTCTGTATGGAAAGGGACGAACAATTGTAACAACATACTATCAATTTACTTATGTTTCAAATGGGTACTGTTCTGGTTTACTGCTTTCTGAAATTCAAGAAATCTAGCTATATTTTCGAGATGTCATAAAAGTTTCTTTTATGTTATTTTACACAAGTGAACAATTATGTGTACCGAACTGGAAGGGTTAAGCATACCTTCTTTTTACTTTCATGCATATTCAAATATAAAGCAAGGTGACAAACCAAATTGCGAGCATCATATATCAACATGTAAAAGCAAAAATTACTATATATCGTATATTTTTTTTATTATGCATGTGTATCAAACAATTTCGAAATTAACAGAGACACGAGTACAAAATAAAAATCACATTAAAATTTGTAAGAATCCAGGGTTTTTCATTAATAATAATGAGGATAATACACTGATTAATTTTTCTGGAATTAAAAAATGAATTTTTCAACTGTTGAAATGTATTTTAATGTTTTGAGGATGCAAAAATTTTATTATAATGACAAAAACATATTATACATATACGTTAAATTGGTACGCTTCTTTCTTTGGTGAGGACTAGAATATATGTGTATCGAATTTGAACTACCTTTTTTGTCGTATTTTTAAAACCATGCACATACATATATATTACTTTTTTAAATCACAATTTTTGTATGAAATGCATTTTGGTTTACTAAAAAAATCCTTTCTAGTTCAAAATAGGTATTTTAAGACTTTGCGAGTGCACATTGAACAACATAATAAATTTAATGTTTTTGTGCAGACAGTATGACATTTATATTGAAGATTAATATTGTCCGAGCTCTTCACCCCAGGGTCTACTTATCAATTTCGGACAAGACTTTAATCAGGCCACCTGACAATTGACAAGGACGTGCAGAGGGCACACGGTGACCTGTCATCGCTGCATACTTCTACCATCACCTGGCCCCGCAGACATACTAAATATACTTAATAAACGCTTTATTATTTTTTATTATTTAATTTGAAATTATACATCCAAAATTAACATTGGCCGTATTTGATCCTGTTTAAAAATATCGAATACTTTCCATGTGCATTATTATGCAATTTACACAACATTATGAAATACATTTGCTATTCGGAGAAAAAAAAATCGCTAAACATATTAAATATCAAGTATATTATGGCTAAGAATATAACATATTTCTCTGATTCACATTAATAAATTAGAGGTACTGTAATTGAATGAATCAATCAGTGATTTAGATAAGAGGATTTTTAAAGGGTGGTAAAATTTTTTTTAAATAAAATCTCTTTCAGGTATGGAGTAGCTTCTAACGAACCTATCCACGTACCAGAAGGCTGTCATCCAGTGGAAGACGGATGCCGGATTGCCTTGATTTCCAACATTGATAATGTAACGGACTGTTACAGTATCGGACCACCGGCTGCCGAGCGCCGCCAACAGGAAATGATGAGAGATATGGCAAGGAGTATGGCGCACCAACAATACCCACAGGCAATGCAGTACTGGAGGGGACTCAATCCACCCCGAATTCACCCGATGGCGGCACTTTTTGGAGCAGGAAGGCGAGGACCAAACGGTCGTCCGGTAGAACAGCCTGAGGGCCTGATGGAGTCCTTCCTGTTGATGAGTATGTTTGGCGGTGGTGGAATGGGCGGAAGTGGTGGGCCGGGTTCACAGGGCACTGCTTCCCCTGGGGATCCTATTGGACATATGGGAGACGGAGGGCAAAGTATGGGCGGACTGGGATTGGGATTAGGTGGGATGGGTGGATCTTTTATGGAATCCCCATTAGGAATGAGTCTTCTATTTTCGTCTTTCATGAGTTAGAGAAGTGATATTTATTTCCTCAGTCGATCTGCATTTTGTTTCAATTCTGCTGTTGCCATATTGTTGTTGTAACCGAGATTTTCGCAAACTTTCTTAGGCTTATTCTTTTTAATCTGAAGTCTTTAACAATATTTCAAATCAGTGAGATTGTCAAAATCAGAACTGAAAATTGGTTACATATTTTCTATGACATCAATATGTTTGTTCATGGTAAAATATTAAATATTAATTTAAAAAATAATACTAAATCTTGTTATAACATTTATTTGCATAGAGAACAAGCTTGTCGGGTTCGGCTTTGATATTTATTTTGTTTTGTGTTGCCTTTTATTTATTGCACTATTAATAAAAGAAATATTCCTTATATTGCTTTACTTTTTCCACTTCATAAACATTATATTCATAGTACAGAAGCCTCTCTTGTACACATAATATTTCACAGATCTATTTCTATCCCCAGTTTGTTTCACATTAAAGATATATCTTTCTGAAGATAAATGCGAGGGGTGATCAAAAAGTTCGCAAACTATCTCTATATCTACAAAACCACAATTCAGATTAGAATGAAATTCGGTACACACATAGCCATACGCAAGGTCTATAAGTAGCATATGCTGAATAAAGTTTCTCTCCTTGTTTGTGGCGTCACAATGTGAAAATGACGTCACTATTTAGGTCACTTGTGACGAAAAATGGTTGTCTCAGTCGAACTAATTCAACAAACGACTGTACAATTTAATGTAATATCTTAGAAATCCCTCTACAGTATCATATAATAATTTGTACACAGTTTATTGAGATAAATGAGTTCCTATAAATTCAATTAATGATTGGATTAATCGTTTTAGTGAAGGAAGGCTGATGGTTAAAAATGATACATGTCATCTTGCCCAGTGAAAGCAAGTTTGAAAAGATATGTATTTTTAATTAAGCAATTTGCTATCAAAGACCTCCAATTAGCACTTTGAAAAATAGTTGAATATTTGAACAATGATATAAGTATTAAATACCTAAGATATCGTTTACTTTAGATTTTAAACATATTAGATATGATAAAAAGGATGTACCCATTCTCTATCCACCTTGAATAAAGGTCTCTCCTGAGACAGAAGATTTGTGTTTTAATGGTCGCCATGCTTATTTTCGGAAAGGATGTTATTATCCACCCATTCTGTTGCCGAGATATGACCATTTCTGACAAATTAACTGTTCTTGTCATAAAAATTAACTCACATGGAAAGAAATATAAAAATCGGAAAAATCTTTTAACTTTTGTGATAGAACGCTACGGAGGGGGTCACGTAACCGCCAATATCACGTGATTCGCGCATGCGCAGAACGGTGGTTGATGTGCATTAAAATCGGGGAGGATCAATTTAAGATATAATCAACATTAAAACCAAATATTGTTTCTTGTATGGAAGTTATTCCATTAGTTTGCGAACTTTTTGATCACCCCTCGTAGAGTGCATAAATGTTGCAATCCACAGATTGAACTCAGATTAAAGTGTAAAATATGCAGATTAACGTGTAAATTTTACAGATTTAAGTGTGAATTTTACAGATTAAAGTGTACAATTTACAGAAAGAAATTGTAAATTTTACAGATTAAAGTGTAGAAATTCATACTGTGATCCAGAAACGTGGGGTATACACAGGCAAAAGTGGCTCGCATAAGTTTATATGAAATAATTTGAACTTCATACGAATTCTTTACACCAGAAAGAGACGAAAAACAGGACACATGAAAATCGTTATAGATATATGTGAAAACTCGAAGAAATTTTGCCATAACTTTCATGTAAATTTTACGTGAAGAGCAAATCACATAGATATCGACAAAGAAAAGTTCCAATAAAAATTATAAAAAAAATATTATGTGAATTTTGTACAAATACTATTCACAGGGTAAAATACCGTATTTTATATAATTTTTACATGATTTTTGCATAATATTGTCAAATAAAAAGAAAATAACATGAATATAACTGTGAGCCACTTTTGTGTAAAATAAATATCACACATACGTTCCTCGAATGGAAGGATATGGAGATAACGAACGGTATTCAATATATAAAACAATACAAAATAGGAGCAGGGCAAACATGAACCTCCGAGACATCAGAGGTGGGATCAGGCGCCATGGAGGAGTGAGCATCCCCTGCTGACCGGTGTCGCATAATATTTGGTCCGCCTCGTTTAAAGGTCCGGCCGGACCAAATACGATAACATATTTGGTCCGCCTGGCTCTATAAGAAAAGGTCCGCCCTCGGCCTTTTATACAAATTGTATGCTTGTGGTTCATTCGATATTAATTGAAAAACTATTCTTTTAAAATTAATTAAGGATATATAGTCGTGTTAATAGCTAGTGTTTTCTCCAAGAAAATGTAGTAAACAATAAGTAAGAAATCGAAATTAATACATAAATAAAGGAATGTTTAGATTTATTGATCGGGTTTCTTCAAATTCTTGTCGGGAAGATGGGACATGCTTCTTTTGTCGTTTAAATTAATACACTAATGTCAACATTATCATTAAAAAAATATTAAGAATACATGTACATACATTTACCTTCACCGCCTTGTTTACTGACAGAATAATCAGTATTGAATGAACAGATAAATGTTCATATATCCAACACGAATCATTTAGTTACACTCTCTTTCCTATAAACATGATAAACGTTTGACTAATCCACTCACAAAAACTGATGTTCACATCTTTTAAAATATATTTCTTTATAGTATTGATAAAAGATATCTGTCATTCTTTACGTTTAATATTGTTGTAAATTACTGGAGGATCACTAGCTGTGACAGGGGCTTATGTCACGGTGTACTACCCTACAACCCTTATTGTAAAAACAACATGCCTACGGATTGGGCAATTGGGGGTTAGCCTATAACTGTTTCGTTTGAGAAAACCTAAAGTACCATATCCCCTGTGTTTCTTTTATAAGTTAACACTGTTTCTTACCTATTCAAAGGCTAATTATTATATCTACTAGATCTCTGCATTTCATTTCCTGAATTTAACATTGCCGACAATTTTTGTTATTATTTCGGAATCCGACAATTTCATTTTCATTTTCAACATTATTTATTTCTTTTTTTCACATTTTCGGATTTTTTAGGATACCTTTACGGCAATTTAAATTTAACATTTAATATTGTTTACTTCTAGTAGTATTAGTAGTAGAAGTAAACAATATTAAGACTAGTTATTAAGTAAGGGAAACAGTTAAGTGAAGGAAACAGTTAAATGAAACTTCACATTCACAATACATGTATCTACATCTGTTCCAGGGTAAAATCAATTAAGTTTCTTTGACAGCTAAGAGCAAAGTCTTTTATTTGAATAAATTATCTAAAATATTTTTAATTACCTTAAGGATTTTTATAACGGATGCATGAATTCTTTTTTCATTTACGAAAAAGTACTGACATGAATTTGACAAATGTCGGAGATGAAAACTTTTAAAATGTAAAAACTTAAAAATGTCGGAAATGAAAAGTTCAGAAAATTCCGGAAATGAAATGCGGCCTACTAAATATTACTCCGGGACAAGGTAAATATGCATTAATTGGCGAAATCAAACAAATTAAGTCGATAAATTGCTGGATTTATAAATGCCTTTATTTTTCATATTTAATATGCATGTTGCTCATATAAAATCTCTGTGCACTACATTTATGATATATTATTTATACTTATGTCTCTCGGTTTCGGTTTCAATAAAAATCCGAACATTTTATACCCCCTCCTAAATGTTTTTTTTTAGGGCGGGGGGGGGGGGGGGGGTAATGGAGTGTAGTAAAATCACGCAGATACCTGTCAAAAAAGTTTAAAGTTTTAAAGTATACCGATATTGTACATATAAAGAGCTTGAGTTTAAAGACACACAATTTCAGAAAAGAACGAATGCACTTATGAGCATTGGTAAAATGTGAAAAAATAAACAAAGTTAGCAAATTTTTCATATCAAATCATTAATTGATATCTAAACCACACGATTCAACAATCTTTGACGCTGAAATTCACGAAGTATAAAGAACAATACCATACAATGTGGTTGGGGTCAGCCGACTTTTGTGATCTTCTATTAATAGTAAATCGAGAACGGTCATGCATTTCAAAAATTTTGTTTACTATGAGCCTAACTTTGTACAAACTTGTGCACATGTGAATAGCAAAAGACGTATAATACATTTATAAAGCTTGTGTGAAAGTAGGAAATTTGCACACAATTAGGCTGGTACTTAAAATATTAATTAAGGAAGTTCTAAACACTGCACATTAAAAAAGTTCTAATCTCTAGTTTTCAAGTTACGAAAATAAACCTTGTCCAAAAATTTTCCCTTTCTAACATAAAAATATTTAAAATACAGAGGGCGAACCTTTTCTAATAACTGCGTTTTAAGGTCCGCCCTCTCTATTTTTCTAGTTTTCAAGCTACGAAAATAAACCCTGTCCAAACATTTCCCCTTATGACATGAAAATATCTGAAATACAGAGGGCGGACCTTTTCTGATAACTGCGTTTTAAGGTCCGCCCTGTCTCTTTCCCTAGTTTTTTAAGCTACGAAAATAAACCCTGTCCAAAAATTTCCCTTCATAACATAAAAATATCTGAAATACAGAGGGCGGACCTTTTCTGATAACTGCGTTTTAAGGCCCGCCCTTCTATTTTTCTAGTTTTCAAGCTACGAAAATAAACCCTGTCCAAAAATTTCTCTTTATGACATGAATATATCTGAAATACAGAGGGCGGACCTTTTCTGATAACTGCGTTTTAAGGTCCGCCCTGTCTCTTTCTCTCGTTTTTTAAGCTACGAAAATAAACCCTGTCCAAAAATATCACTTTATGACATGAAGATATATAAAATACAGAGGGCGGACCTTTTCTGATAACTGCGTTTTAAGGTCCGCTCTGTCTATTTTTCTAGTTTTCAAGCTACGAAAATAAACCCTGTCCAAACATTTCTCTTTATGACATGAATATATCTGAAAAACAGAGGGCGGACCTTTTCTGATAACTGCGTTTTAAGGTCCGCCCTCTCTATTTTTCTAGTTTTCAAGCTACGAAAATAAACCCTGTCCAAACATTTCTCTTTATGACATGAATATATCTGAAAAACAGAGGGCGGACCTTTTCTGGTAACTGCGTTTTAAGGTCCGCCCTGTCTCTTTCTCTATTTTTTAAG